ATTAATTGCAATGCCACCACTGTGCAAATTATTTACACTTCTGATAAAATTTGTTTGGCTTTTCTCAAAAATATTAATCTCCTGCTTTGCAACTTTAGGAAGAACTATCTTTGTGAACTTAGTGCACTTTATCATTGCATCACTCAATACTGAAACTGATGCACTTTCATTCAAAACTGCCGTGAGACTGCATAAGTTGGTGTCATACTCTTGGCAGTGGCTTGATGCAACATTTTTGCAGCATTTAATGTCTGCAGCCTCCTTCATCTAACGCTGCAGCCAGGCTAGAGATTTTCCCATCATCTCCCAAAATTGTTGGAGAGTGGGTCCTTCTGTCTACAAGGTTGTCTGTAACAGAGATCTGAGGAAGACAAAAAAAATTTTGACCATTGATCTGAGGAAGACAAAAAAATTTTGACCACTGCTTTCCGATTTATGTTTTATTTCTCCTAACAACATTTGAAGATGTTCGCCTGCAAGGTCAGGAGATTCAAGTATTTGATATTTAATGTTGTTTACCTTTGACTCAAGTCGCTTTAATCTCCTTGCCTCTTTTGTAAACTCTTTATCACGAGCGAGGGCAGACACAAGAAGACATTTTTGCCGTTTTAGTGAAATTAAGACTGACTAAAATAAAAGCTTTAATTGGCAGGAATTAGCCAGTAACCATTTCTGCACATGTCTCGTGGCGTATTCGAGCAGAAATTTTCCTTTCCTTTTACTTGAGCCATATGTGGCGGGGATCTGAGGATGAGGTTGATAGTAACCGCAGGCCCCAAAAACCAGCGGTGTGTTGAAGGAACTTAATATGGCGGACGAAGCCAGGTAACACATGTGATTAGCTTCCAAATCTGATTTCTCAATAAAAACCCAGTTGATTTGAAGGAATCTTTTTAAATGGAGGCAGTAAGCAAGAAAAAGGGTAAGGATGAATATCCAGTGGACGAAAAGAAACTACAGAAATACCACCGAGGAAAGCAAAATCGTTTCAAGGTAAGCGAAACGAACGAAGCTTTAGTTTATGTTGTGGTTTAACTTTTGTTGAATCGAGATATTGTCTAGATCTTGTGCTGAAGCGCCATCTTCTTACTGTGAAACTAACCTGAAAGTTCTCGCCCATCAGCATGTAAAAGACAAGAAGCTGCGTGGGAAACTTAAGTCATATGAATCACAGCATCAACAAGCAGCGATACAGGCGGCTAGATCAGAAATTCTTCTAACAGAGCAACCTGGGTATGAAAGAACTCTTGCTGTTACTTTAATGCATCACTACGTCGTCAAACAGGATTATTATGGTAGAAAGAGAGGCCTCATTGTTCAGTTTCATGTTTTAATTAGAATTCTCAAGCAGTTTGTCTTTGGGCAGGTTATATTTTCGAGCAAGATCTACAAACACGATATTTGTATGGTTAGGATCTTGAACACTAGATGGAGGCATTCAAGCGCAGGCTGTTTAATTGTGATGTTATTTATTATGTTTGTTTAATTTTCTGTGTGTGTCTTTGCTTGGCAGGTTTTTGGAGGCAGAGGGTTTGGAGAAAACATTTAAATTCAAACAAAGGGATATTGTAAATGCTGTTGATGTTGCAAGTGCCCAGAAGTCTTTTGAGCTTAAGCTGGATACATTTGGACCTTACAGAATAAATTACACTCGTAATGGAAGGTGGACAAAACTTTCTTTTAAGGCATTATTGGCTACATATAAATGCTTAGTTTACTTCCTCTTTTTAGTTGAATTTATCAAATATCAAAGGCCTCTATCACTGATCTCTTTGTAAACACCACCTGGTTAGCTGAGTTAGAAGATAGAAAGCATATTGAACAAGATTTTGAGGGTTTTAGACCCAGAAGAGCTTTGTAAAACACTATTAGTTTTTAGGCTATGATTTGATAAGTACTGAGTACTCTTGCCATTTAGAAATTAACTGCCTGAAGTGGATGTTTTTTCCTGGACTTTTAGATTTCTTCTTATTGGTGGGAAGAAAGGTCATCTGGCCACAATGGACTGGGAGAACAAGAGACTTGGTTGTGAATTTCATGTACAAGAGACTGTGCGAGATGTCAGGTAAAGTTTAGTCTGCAGCACTGAAAATGTTTGATTTACACTCATGGCTGTTGGTGAAAATGTCTTCCACCTCATTATTTTATTGTGTCCTTTTTGTATTTTTCAGATGGTTGCATATTGAAACTATGTTTGCAGTTGCCCAAAAGAAAAATGTCTTTATTTATGACAATAATGGAATTGAACTTCATTGCCTTAAGAATCACAACCAAGTCAATAGATTAGAATTTTTACCATATCACTTTCTTCTGGCTTCAGTGGTAAGTCATTTGCTATCAATGAAATTGTCTGTTGTCAAGAGAAAGTGGGAAACTGTTACTGGCATGAACTCAGACATATAATTTAGCTTCCTTTGTTTTAACCCTTAAAATCACAGAAGTGGTTAATGTGTAACTTCTCCCTTTAATTAACCATACATTTACCAGTTAATTAGTAATGAGAATACCCAGAGTTATCAGGTAGAAGAAAGTTATTATCTTGATCAAACACTTAATTCCTGTAACTTATTTTCAAGGAAAAGTGTAACAGGAAGAGGGGAGAATTAAACAATCAGATTTTGGGATTTTAAGGGTTAAACAATGTTCATTATCAGCAGCTAATATTACAAGCTTTTAAATATTCCGAGCTAAACCCTTTTTTAATTGCTCTTTATGATATTCTTTCCTACCTTTACATTTCTTCATAGGGTGACCATGGAATTCTCAAATATCAAGATGTATCAACAGGCAAACCAGTTGTTCAATTGTTTTCTAAACTAGGGAAGTGTGATTGTATGACACAAAATCCTTGCAATGCAGTCATTCATTTGGGACACTTCAATGGTAAATATACTGTTACAAACAAATATAATAAAGTGGAGGAGAACACTTCTAAATACTCATGTAACAGAAGTGAGCCCAAATGGGATGAGGACTGAAACTACTTCAATCCCTAAGAGTGACCAGCATCTTATTTCTCCAAACAGTATTATCCCTGGATCAAGCATTACAAACATGAGAATTATGTAAACAATCAACAACTACAGAAGCTCTTGATTGTTAAACAAATTCTCCTTGTCAGCACCTTCAGAAATTTATAGAGAACAGTATGGAGAGTACATATACTGATGTTAAGGTGTAAAGGGTTATTGGTTATTTGAATAAATTGTGCACTGCCAACCTGCTCTGTGGCCTTGACATTCTAGGACAGAAACAGACAGCCAAAGGAAAAAAAAAGGAGACCATTTGGTCATATTTGATGTGATACACAGCATGACACTTGATTTATTTTGGGGTATTTTTTACTTGGGAAAAAAATATATATGAATTTTTGAACCTGTTAAGAATCGCAAATTGGTCCTTATAGAAAGTTGTTTGGTCTTCTTGATATTGGTTTTGGAAGGCAAATGTTCAAGCCATGTGTAAAAGAAATTTGATGCCTCTGTTTCAGCAATTTCAATTTTTTTTGTAATATTTTCCTTTGAAGATCAATGTGTTGCTATTTAGTTACCAAGGGAGAATTTACATGGAATGGACTCGTTTATTACTTTGTAATCAGCCATTCTATGCAAATTATGTCTGTCTGCAAGCTGTGGTTATAAACTAAGGTATCTTGTTGTTTTCAGGCACAGTAACAATGTGGGCCCCAAACACAAAAGATCCTCTTGTTAAGATGTTATGCCACAGAGGACCTGTACAGTCAATTGCCATTGATACTAAAGGAAAGTAAGTAAAATTTATCTTGGAAAAAATATATCCAACTTATCCCCCTGGGATTATAATCTGATACCTGGCTTGGCTGAGGTTTTTTTTAATGGGAAAGTGAGAGAGGGAAGTTCTTTACCTAGCAGATAATCATTTGTTCTTCTCATGATTGTTCCAGTCTGTGGTACATACATCTTTTTCAACCAGAGATTTCTAGATAGAAGTTAAGCACTCATTTCAAAAATAAGTATCATACTTCACTCAGTTACCCTTAGTTATCCTTGCTATGGGTAAAATTATCTTTCTTTCACAGTGGGAATCTTACATTACCATACGGACAAACTATGTGAAATTAGGAAAAGAATTTTCAACCAAGGACAAATCAAATGTGGACAAATTATCATATTTAATTTTTTAATTATTCATTTTTCTACATACCAATTATTTGCCCGCACATAGGCCACACTTTTTTGATGAAAAACCACCTTGAAAGTTTGCAGTGTGGCCTATACGTGGGTACAAGAGTTCATGTAGCCTTTGCACAGAACAGAACAAACTCTTCTTAATATGAAGAGGAGAACTTATTGTCTGAATCACTGCATATGGTCTTAATCATCAACAAGTTCTCTGTTTCACAGTCAGTATCCAAGCAGCAACTATTTGGTGGCCATTGGAACTAAACTTGGGGGATAGTTACCAATATGGTGACCTGTGTTTAGCAGTTACATAGCATGCTGTCAGCAAAGTTTTTATAACCTAATTTTGATAACCTTTTTCCTGCTTTTCCAGATATATGTTATTATAATTTGTAAACAAAGAAAAATATTAGTAAACATGCCAGTAGTTTGAAATCATGTTACTTGAATTTCATTCTAACACTGTCTTACCACATGAATCTTTCTAAAACTCAGTTACATGGCAACATCTGGTCTAGATGGAAAAATGAGGATCTGGGATGTAAGAACATATAAGGAACTTCACACATATTATACTCCTACCCCAGCAAGTTGTCTTGCTATCAGTCAACGAGGATTGCTTGCTGTGGGTCATGGACCACATATTCAGGTCTGCTGGGAGTTAAGAAATTAAGTAAAGTCAAGAGGTGTTGGAGTTTATGTAGTGGTTTTTGATAGTTTTTTATTTATTTTGTATGTATTTTTTATCTGCCACAAAGTGTATTTTCATTGTCTAAAAATCATGATGGTTGATTTTTCATGTTATCAAACATGTTGCTGCTGCGTGGTTAATACACACCTGGACTAATGTTGATGTTGATTCTAGTTATGGTTACCTTAACTAGATTCCACATCAACATTAGTCCAGGCTTTTACTTTCAAGCCAAGGTTATTGGAGTAAACACTTAAATAGACCTACAGTTTCTTTCTTTACTTTGAAGTTTAAGAAGATACTAAATAAAAAAAACTGTCTGAGAAACCTGATGAAGTATGCTCAGGGATAGGAGTTAAATACATTTCATTCTAATTCCTCAATGTAGTTATAACTCTTTAAAACCAGTATGAGTGACCAGGATTTAATATTTCCTTACAATAATACTGCAAATCTTTTATTAAGCATATAAAAACATATGAAATGATCACCAACCTAGGAAGCTTTGATTTTAAACAAATTCTTCTTGTCAGTACCAAAGGAAATGTATGAAGAAGAGTGTGGATACTGATGTTATGGTTAAAGGTAGACTTAATTTTAATTTTGAGCTCACTCTTAGCTTCCTTTTCATTGTTGTTGCAAACAGATATGGCGGGATGCTTTCACTCAAAAACAGAAGTCTCCCTACATGTCTCATATGTTTCCCTCTTGTACTGTTCATGGCATGCAGTTCTGTCCATTTGAAGATGTTTTAGGTGTTGGACACTCAAAAGGATTTGGCAGCTTACTTATACCAGGTGAGACTGTTGTTCCTTCAACTCTTATGAGGGACTAAGACAGAATTTCTCCTCACAATGTCATTGAAATATCAAGCAGACTTTTGATGAGAATTAAGGAAAATGTCAGGTAGGGGATTATTAGTTGATCCAATACCAAATTCTCCAAACTAACATCGTACAATTCATAGAGGAGCTCGCAAAGCATAGCCCCATAATTATACAAAATAGTAGTATCCCATCAAGCCGAAAAAATTTGGATGTACGACTGTACGGCTGTATGACCAACCATACAAGGTGCTACTTTTAGCATGCACGGCCAACTGTACCATTGGCACTATCTTATAATCAGTCCTCTACACGGACACGGAGAAGTTGCGAATGAAAATCCATTAATATTACCACACACTTTATCCATAATAGGGGCTTAAGTTTTTTTGAAGAGATGTGCGGGAAAAAAAATGCAAGCTTTGCTTTTTAGGCTTGCCTAAATCTATATATTATGGCTGATGAAAGAAGAATTACTAATGAGATCTGGAGTGAAAGGGTTAAATGTACAATGGACAGAATTATTATATGAACCAAGGATGGGCAAAGTACTATTTTCAATACTTATAACACAACACCTGTGTTATGCTGCTTCTTTCTTCAATACCAACATCAATATCAATATTGTGATATCATTCAGTAAACGAGTAAATAATTAATCTGTATGATTAACAAAATGGGAGGTAGATGTGTTTTATTCAATTTATTCAAACTAGTCACAGATTTAAATTTATCAACAAGTCAGAACATTTTCTTGCTTGATAAAATAGTGGAGAAAACACAATATTTCCAACATGTTTTTTTTTTTTTTTTTTGCCTTTGGTGATAACCAGAAGGACACAGGCTTAACAGGAGCCTTTTCTCAATGTCGTGGATTTTCATCTTTTATGGAAAGTTCATTTGAAATCCACTGTAATACCAATCTATAATGTTCTTGTATCACATTATTGTTTTTTTTTTCTCTTCAGGTGCTGGTGAACCTAACTTTGATGCATTGGAGGCCAATCCTTACCAAACCAAAAAGCAAAGACAGGAGTTTGAAGTCAAGGCTTTGTTAGAAAAGGTGAAAAATGGAAACAAGCTTTCTAATCAAATAGTATCTTGTCCATGGTAAACACACCAGGAATTATGATTTCAAGTAATATCCCCTCTTTTATCTTGTATTATTTTGTTTCACTTGTAATTCACTGTTTGTACCTTGTTTTAATTTGCAGATTCAGCCAGAATTAATAACGTTAAACCCAATGGATATCTTGCGTGTTAGTTACCCGAAAAAAGGTTCAAATACAAATGACCATGATAATGATGATGAGGAGGTAGGTACAGAAGATGCAAATAGAAGATACTACTTGAAGGTGCAACTCTAAGGCACAAGTGATGCAGATGAAATTCTTACATATGTTCATATTGGTTAAAAATTTACATTTCAACCAACAACCTATCTGCAATGAATAGTTATTCAAATGTACTGTATCTACCTTTTCTTTGTTACCTAGCATTCAGATGAGAAATTTGAACCAAGGCATAAAATGAAAGGTCGTAGCTCTTCAAGAAAGCATCATCTAAGGAAGAAGGGTCATGAAGAACAAGAGAAGAAGGTAAGATTCACTCAGAAAAGGGTTTGGGAAAGTTATGTAAAATTATTCCTGTGTGGGGAAAATACGATTAGGGGAATGTTACTACAAATGATCAATTTTTTTTTTTTTTTTTTTTTTTTATATTCTGGTTGTCATTACTCTGGTATAATTGCATAGGTTTTTTTTTCCAGGAAAAAGTCAGACAAGCAATGCAGAAGAAAAGAAAAGAAAGAAGAACAGAGAAAATTAGTGAAGAAAGATCTGTACAGTCATTTTCTGCATTAGATAGATTTCTGCACTCTAAAGCAAAGTAGTGTCAATCAGCAGAAATGACTTAATTAATAGAGCAGTTTGTTTTTGTAAAATAAATGGTTGAATCTTTGTCAATTTTAAGCCTAATAAAAGAAATCACCTGATCATGTGTTAGATTTACCAGCAGTGTTCTGCAACTTTTAATTTCAAATTTGCTGACTAGTCCAACTACTGATGGAGTTTATTTTACTCTCACAGGTCAGTGTGGAAAAATGCAAAATAAAAGAGACATGTGAAGTTGGTGATCTAAGTGTTCTTTATTACAATTCACAGAACATTGTACTTTTAGTTCTTCTTCTTGGCCACACCAACAGTTCTACCCTTGCGACCAGTGGTCTTGGTGTGCTGACCGCGCACACGCAGACTGTAAAAAAAAAAAAAAGAAGGAACATATTTATTCTAGGCCTTTCTAATTCAGTGCTTCCTTTTAATTTATTTCCGTTGCATGAAAAAAAGTGACTAGAGAGAAGGTCAATCCATGGGACCAGCCATTCAGCCAAAAGAACACTTCTACAACTTTGATATATATTAGGATATAGATTAGGATATGGGTAGATTGGCATACTCCTATCACTGAAAGTTATATGACATAACATGGAAATAGAACATTTCTACAGCTTCCACAGAAATTTATAACCAGTGTACATTTCATCTACAACTTGTCCACCAGTCCAGGAAAAGTATAAATGACTTTGTCAGAGATCAAAATGTTGAATGCCAATGTAATAGGCCATTTTGATATCTTTAAATTCTAACGTGGCTCCAAAGCTAGGGGAATAAAAGAAAAGAAATTAATTGTTCATCCCTCAACCTCTCTGTAATTTCTTTTGTTTTATTCCCCCAATGAGTCAAGTTGGAATTTTAAGATACCTAAAATGGCCAATTGAGCTCTGAGTGGTGTTGGTACCAGATGAGCCCCTATGAGCAATAGTCATGTTGATATCCACAAAACTCAAATCAAAACATACCCCCAGTAATGACGGAGCCCACGATGAGCACGGATCTTCTTTAACCTTTCCAAATCATCACGGAGCTTGCTCTCAAGATTGTTGGCAAGGATCTAAAACACAAATTACAACATCAAATGAAACCCTTCTATAAAACCCTTGAAGATTAAATTCCAGTTCAGTTCAATTTTCCATACCTGTGAGTACTTGCCATCTCTGATGTCCTTCTGCCTGTTAAGAAACCAATCAGGAATCTTGTACTGGCGTGGGTTCTGCATGATAGTTACCACACGCTCCACCTGCAGCCAAACAGAAGCTACCTTTACCCATGTACAGTAACCTCTTAGCAAATAACAATATTAATACCCTATTTTACCTCATTGTATCCAACTGATTTAAGTTTATACTAACTACTGTCACGAACAGAAGTCAGATAATTCAGTTCACAATTGTAGTTTGAAAATTATGTTCAGGTCAGGTTTATTTAAAGCTGAAAACCACAACCTACTGGATAAATAATTGATTGCTGAGTAGGATAATTTAATGGTTATCAACTAGACAGTAATTTGTGTGGTGCAAAGCAAACTAGAACAGTAAGTCTAATATGCTTCTGCATGAATTAATGAAAATATACACTGTTAAGATCTCACAGTGAAAAACCTCTGGTAGTGTGGAGCCATTATCAATTACTAATAAGCAAATAAGAACATTTGACTACAGGGTGTTAATATATATCAGAGAACAAAGAATTCTCTGGCTATTAAACAGTATTATCTTGTTAAATTACATTATAACAGCCTCACTTATTTTTCATCCTGATAAATTGAACATTCTCCTCTTCCTATACAATTGTTATCCTGCTACTTTTTTTTTTTCAATCTAAAAACCCTGTGGCAATGAAAATTTTACTAATTCTGTCCATGAAGCTTTACCTCATCATCTGTGAGCTCTCCAGCACGTTTGTTCATATCAACGTCAGCCTTCTTACACACAAGGTTGGCATACCTTCGTCCCACACCCTGCGAGAAATTTCAATTTCCTCATGTTTGTTGCACAGTACTAATGTAGCACACACTACAATGTCACTTTTTCATCACAATGTTAGTTAACACAAGGGACAAACAAAGAAAAACTTAGAGTAAACATAAGGAAACTACCATTAACAAGGGACTGTGGAAACTGTACAACTCATGACTCCCTGAAAAAGTTTGTTTGCCTTTGACAAGTCCACTGCATACTGAACAATCACAAAAAAGTTTACAACAAACTGATTACCACTGTTATTAGAGCAACAGCTAGTTGGCTTTTTCTTCAAGACATAAAAACATCCCCAGAATATTTCTGGTGTTCACAGTTCACCATGCTTCTTATGTAGAAATTCCATAATGATTACTATACAATGTAACTCTGTTTATGGCCCTCTTCAAATGCGACACTAGATCTTCACACTGTACAACACTAATTCCAAATACAGAACATTTATGTTCTCGGTAAGATTTCCACACAAGCCCACACTCTTCCATAACAAAGCCATAGTCTCTTATCTAAGTACTGTACGCATAATGAAGAATGGGATTGCATGAAAATCTTGCCATCCTCTCCTGTTTTATCCACTGACCTTGATGGAAGTTAGTGCGAACATAATTTTTTGTTTTCCATCGATGTTGGTGTTCAGTACACGCAAAATATGCTGAAACTTCTCGGGAATTACAAGGGCCTATGCGAAAATAAATATTTTAACGTGAGGACATTGAAATTAGTTTTAATGACAGCACTAAAAAGTTAACCATCTCCGTTTACATCAATAATGATAGTAGTATTAACAATTCTAAAGTAAAACGACATCGAATAACATTCGCGAAATTTCTGATATTCCACAGCCAAATGGGAACTTGTAAGTTTAGTCTTGCTGTTCAGAAAATTCTTTTTTTTTTTTTCAAACGCCTGAGAAATGCAAACATTCAAAGTAGAAACCTATATTTTTCGAAATCCGTAACGTTCGACTGTACATTTATTAACTCGCTTGAATAATTTGCACAGTGTGCAAATTTACGAAATAAAGGCAGAGATCACTTCTCACATCTTAAGAAACAACAATTAAATTAACGATAACACCGATGATGACACAGATGCAAAGATTATAGCGGATTTCTTCGACACTATCCTACGCTCAAACTCCAACCTACCATGATGGCAGCCGAAAGAGAACGTAACGTGGTGCATGATGGGATTTGTGATTAACTGAACCCGCACAAAGTAGCGTGTCAGTGGAAAATGGCGTGCCATCATTGTATATCGTGTATGAAGAAGTATAGTGTCCAAAGGGTTTATTTATGAAAAAGTTTAAGATATTGAAGAACAAGACTTTCACTGCTCAAACCAAGCTAGCAAAGGGAAGCAGCGCAAACTGAAGAACTGGTGGTAGTGAAATTCAGACACGATAGAACAAAGGAAAAAAATTTGGTGTAATATTTCTTAGAAAAGTGGAGTAATTATGCAAAAACAAAGGAAAGCAAATGTAAAAAAAAAAAAAAATTTTGGTAAGGGAGGATGCATGCAGAGATGTTTCCAAAGTACCAAAGTGAAAAGGTATTTCCAGCCATAAGCCATATAAAAACTTATCATCCTTACAAACCAACTTCTAGTATTCAAACTTAAACACAACAGAGTAAAGAATGAGTCAATTTTTATTTCACAGAGAATGTTAGGTGATTGGTTAATCTTGATAACAAATTTAAGTGTGAAGACACCAACAAGGCTGGATTAGTCTCCTAGTTAGTTTCAATCAGAATGCTGTCTATGTATCAAGATTACATTGATTTAATAAATAAGGTGAAAACCCAAAATACCCAAATGAGAGCAGAATGCAAGAAAAATTACTTTGCAAATATACGTGTATGTCATGAAAAGCTTGCATAGTGGTTCGACAGATCTTATATTAATTTTCTGCATTTCTTTGTGGCATAATCTTGTTACCTCAATGAAAGAATTTATTGCCAACATCATCTACAAAAAATAGACATAACTAAACAAAACAAATTATTTTGATGTTAACATGTGAAAAAAATATTATATAAATTGTATGGTAACTTTTCTGAACAACTTTTGGTCTATACTGGCATTTCTAAGGCACAAAGTTTTGAGACAAATACTAATTGAAACCTCACACTGAGTCATGCAAAAGGAGGAATGATTGTAATTGATGACAGGCCAAAAATTTTCAAATGCCTTCAGAATACAAAGAAAACACTCTGCTGGGCACACCCAAGCAGACACACACACTGAACTGTAGACCATAACCTTGATTTATGGGGGATCGGGATAACTTTCCTTTGCACATTTTTAATGAAACAAAAAGAGCCCAAATAAAGAAAAATCAGTGTGTCTGACACTTTCGTCATTGCAACAAGAGAGATAGGAGATCCATTTGAGCTATACTTCTTATCATCACACTGTTCTGCAGTTGTTTTTTTAAATACTTTATGGATAACACCAACTTATCTTTATCCATTAAATGCTGGTGTAACCAAATTAAATTTATCCTTTTCATGCTGGTGTCCTCCTTGTACAACATGATTAATGATACAAAATTGTCTGAATTGGTGCTTCTTGAGCATCTATCAAACCAAACACAACAGCTCTGTCAACTGATGAAATTCAAACACCAAAAGACGGAGAAACATCAACTCATTTTTTTATCCCAATTCACTTTAACATCCAAACGCATCACTAAGTGGTAACTTTACGACTCCTACTCCTCCACCTAGCCTACGATAGTTCATCCCTCCATAAAGCTTCCACTGATTTAACACTGGGTCAAATACTTCAATAGTCTTAAGATAAGTGGTACCATCAAAACCACCAACAGCTAAAAGTTGTCCATTTACAACTGCCAGACCAACTCCACTACGGCGAGAGTTCATTGCCACAACAGGTGACCATTGGTTTGTTTTAGGATCATAACATTCAGCACTACTGAGCTCTGTTGCATCATCTCGCCCTCCAACTGAGGAATGAAAACAAGTATTCAGTTATAAAATTGTTTCTTGATTCTGCAGATAATAAAACAGACCCTGTAAGGAAGTTTTCACTGACTAAGTGCTGGTTTATTCTGTGTGAATTTAATACTGTTGAAATATTATTACTTCTTTGTAAGTTAAGTGATGAGCAGGACAGCTGAGATCAAGTGTCACATAACATTGTTCCTATCTTTATTCTTTAAGAGAAGTACCATTTTCACAGTGCACATAAATTACTTGAGATTTGGTTGCCATTGGGAAAATAATGTTCTCACATTAGTCAAAGAACTTTTGACAGATGGTCAGGTACAGATATTCAATAAGGTTATACACCATTTCCCTTCACAACAAACTTGCTAACCTGATCACACTGTATGAATTGTATGACCTTTTTCAATTGTTCCATTTGTATTGGTATGTTCCCCATAATATGCACTATGCTTTAAATACAGGGTTCTCATTAAGAAATGTGTAGAGTAACAGGAAACAACTCTCCACATCTGAATAAAAAAAATAGCTCAGTCAGGCTTTCAAAATTTAGCTGGATAATCATGCCTGAAAATTAACTGAACTTTGCTCCCTCACCAACACCCTGACTTCACTCCACAAGATAATTTAGAATAAAGCAACCTTTTAAATACTCACCAACATAGAGTTTATCCTGGAAGAGGGCAGCCCCAAGATGTTTCCTTCGTGTTCCCATGGGTGCCACTGGGCTCCAACGATTAGTTTTAGGATCATATTTCTCAACTGTATTTAAGGGTGAGGTGCCATCAGAGCCACCAATAGCGTACAGATAACCATCAAGTACTGCAACACCAACACCAAGTCTGCGAGAACTCATAGATGCAACTCGAAACCATCTGTTATCTTGAGGGTCATATTTTTCAACAATGTACAGACATGATACACCATCTTGCCCCCCAACTGCATACATGTACCTGGAAAAGTTGGTTTAAAATCAGTGATATATTTCTTGTTTACCCCTTTGAACAAGCAAGCTTAAAAATAATAATTATTACAAATCAAACTAGAATTTAAAAAGTCATTAAGAGAAAAAACTACTCAAGAATCACCAGATCATGTGATAATGGTAGGCAGTCTGTCATGTGTACTTATGGTGGTTACTCAACACACATTCTTGTATCTTATGCTTAGTTTTCAAATAACAGCAGAATCATCTTAGGTACTTAAGTATGCAAGTGGGATAGACAAAGTTTACCTAAGTCTTAACAACATTTTTCATTATGCAATTCCCTATATCCACAATTTGTACATGTGGAGCTGTTGTAAGTTCACTTCCCCCCATCTAACTTGGGTTAAATACCTGAACCAGTATATTTATTTAATTTATTAACAAGCATGGTCGTTTCTATTATATCTGCTACCAAATACGTGATTTGCTCTTATTTCAAACAACTTACCCATCAAGAACAGCAACACCCACACTGGTACGACATGTGCAAGTTGGTGAAACATCACTGCTCCATTGGTTTGTTTTGGGGTCATACCTTTCAACACTGTTGAGATAGCTACTACCATCATGACCTCCAACAGCATACAGTAAATTGTCCAAAACGGCCACACCCACACCACAACGTCGCTTACTCATGGTGGCCACCATTTTCCAGTCATTTGTCTGTGGTTCATAGCGTTCAACACTACTGATGGCGTCTCCACTACACCAGCCTCCCACAGCAAACAACACCTCTGTGCATTTAGTTGGTTTTCGAGGTCTGGTCCGAGGTCCTTGCATGAGCAACCTTTGCTCTGGCAGAAGAAGATAGTTCTTGGCTTCATCCACAAGATCTCTACAGGATTCATCACTTTTTACCAAAGGATCAGTACCAACGACACCAACTAAGAATTTAGGGCCTAAAAGTGGTAGCCTGACATGTTGTAAGACCTGTGAAAGGTGACATCGTCTCTCTGAAACGCTGTATTTGACCCAGTTAATGACCGCTGTAAAAACCTGTTCTTCGGAACGAATGTTAAGTTCGTCGCTGGACAGAATATTCAATAATTGTGTCACCGGCAAAAGTAAGAATTCCTCACTTTCTATGACTTCTTGAAAGTTATGGTGAGTAAAAATGTCGGCAATGCGCAACAGCTCGCGGCAAGAGTGAGTATCAGCGAAAGCTCTGATACCGAGGCAATTCGAAGGATCTAGCTGGCGTTTTAAAAACTCACAGCATATTTCCTGAATTTCTGAGATTTGAAGCAAACAAGCGGCAGGAAGAAGGGCTTGAACATTGCCTTCTTCCACAATAATTTCTGCACTGTATGCGAAATCAACCAGGAGTTCCATAGCTGTTTCATCGACATCTTGAATTGTTACTTCTTTTTTCCGACTTTCCGCCATTTCGCCCGTGAACATGGCTTTAAAATACGGACTACATGCCGCCAAAATCACTCGATGAGCAAAGAGAGTTTTACTACCAGCCTTAATTACAACATCACACAATTCTCTGCATTGCCGTAGAGAGTCTAATGTGTCCAGAAGTTGTTTAGGGTGGCGATCTGAAATATGTCTCATCCTCGGTTTGTTAAATTGAGAAGACTTCAACGGGCTGCCAGCGAAAAATGGCAATCCCATCTCCATGGCTGCGGTTCTCTCAGTGTTTTCCATTGAAACTGATCATCGTCGATTACAATGCCGAGTTCAAGTGTTAGCCTTACGATTTAATACATCTGAATGAATGAATTTGACAAACTTAAGCACACATTTTTAGTGCTATTCACCAAAACAAAATCTCCCAATAACCGAATATAACTTGCTATTCACTATGTAACCTGGCCTTCCGAATGGTGTCACTGAGCATGAACGGGGAAGAGCGGAGGATTTCTTCTTCCGTGCTGTTACAAACGGGTTTAATTTCTTCATCGAGAATGGGATCTTAGTTTTAGTTTCTTTTTTCGATTTTCCACGCTCTGAAGGAAACGTTTTTTGAATATTTTTTTCATACTTTCTGTTCTGAAATCCTCAAGAGGGTGGAAAAATGAGTTTAATTTTCGTTCGTGGTTTTACGAAAACGAAAGTCTTGGTAGGTAAACTGATGGTTTGGTGTCGTGTTCTGTTATGAAAAACTTCGAGGCCTCTTTTTCTTCCACGGTAGGAGAAAAAAAATGGTGGTGTTGAGAAACGAATGAACAATTTGTCCGATATTATTCGTGTTGAGGAGAAACGTGTCTACTAAGAAGGTATTGTGGTGAAAATTAAGAAGTCCTTTAGCTGCTACGAGGTAATGAATGTCACGCTTTTGCAAAAGTTGAGAGCCACATGAAAATTGTAACACGCGTGGCTACTAATTTTCTAGGAATCTGAATTTGTTTTCGAGAGAGAAAGTGTCATCCTTTCTTATCAAAGTTACAATTGCTTTACATGGTTGCTTTCCTTTTCTCAACACACATTTGCTGTGGTCAGAAAACCCTTAAATGTCGATGTGTATTGGCGTTTTACAAAACTGACTTCAAGCTTGCTAAAATTCTCAAATGTGATGAATCAGATTTTCGATGCTTAGTTTACAGCTCTGTCATTTGTGAGGCTATACTCTGAGTGTCTGGACACTCGCATTGCCCTGTTAAGCATGAAGCATGCTTTATCAGAGGAAAGCAATGTAAAAACCTGTTTAATGGCTTTGTAATACATTCTGACTAAATTGAACAGTCTCTAACTGACTCACTGATGTTGTCTTTACGACAGAGGAAAATAACTAACAAGAGGTAGAGGAGCTTTTTTAAACCTGATACTTTTAAGGCTGGCTCTCCTTTGTTTAAAATTTATTTGTTGCAGTATTAAATACAAAACATAACCTAATCTATCAATAAGATAGAAAGAAATAATGATGTTCAGAAGAAATATGCCAACATGAAATAACTAATGAGGCTTAATAGATCCATTAGTTAGTAAAAAGTTTGCGTTAAGTAGCATTTTCTCGTTAACAAAATAAACCTGTCGTCGTTTGCATGTTACAGGGAGTTGCATTGTCACGTATTTTTGCATTGTTTGTCAGTCGGTGATCAATTGGTCGTTGGAGAGCTCGGTCAGTTTGGTCACTAAGAAGGACATTGTAGCACGTTGTGGTTTAGAGGGGGTGACTGTTGTTAACAGGTTAAGATAAGAGCTTAAGTGGAGAGCGTCTGCCAGGACAACACAACATGGCCGCTGCAGGTTCAAGTGGCTGCTATCCAAGGTTCTACAGTAATTGTTTTAACGAAAGTGGCTGACATTCCTATATTTTACTCGTCTAGTTTTTTATCGGCTAACAAACTGAATTAAACTTAAACCTATTTGTTTCTTGCTGCTGCTGGTTATCACATTGTTCAAGCTGTAGCACAGAGTTTGAATATGTCGTCGTCGAAGGAGTAAAACTGCGTCGTGATGACCCGTCGTCCAAAACACTGCTTTGCATCTTACTTTCCTTTCTCGGAGTCGTGGTAGATAACTCGTAGTCTTCATTTCTTTCCGATTCTTCTGCGATGATTTTCCTTCTTGTCTGATAAAAAGCAATCTTACGCTCTATGCCTAAAAATAAAATTGATATAAAGATGCCAGCAGCGACAAGCACGAAAACGCCGTTGTGATCAGACATAGACAATCTGTGTGGTGATCTCTCAAAGTCTTCTTTTGTCAAACACTTTCGCACCAGCCACTTATTCCAAAGAACAGACAACGCGTTTTCGTCACTCAGTTGGAGAATCCTCTTTGAGAAAACCTGGGTCCAAGAGGAATCTTTCGTTAGTACTAGTCCATATCCAGAGATACCAAAAGGCTCTCCCACAATTCTCAAGGAGCAGTCGTGTTGCGAAGAGACCAAATGCTCCAGATAAGGGTGGTCGTCGATATAAACTGAAAATTCCCTGTAGATGAGAGTACCAATAACCGTGATAAGCATTACCCGCTATTGTACATGGACGCTAGGTCCTTCCATACAGGCTAGAAGGTTATAGAGAAGAAAATAAATAAACAGGAGACTTGGCAACCACGTATATCCACTGGACTAATTTTCAGTTGATTTAGTTCATTAACTCTGATGGAGAGCTAACGCTCGAAACGTCAGCTTTGAAACACTTTGAGGTGGCCAATTCGCGTTATCTACTCAGTTGATAACACTAAATTACCCCGTTATACTCTTCCACCGACGCAGTACCACTGTTTCTTTAGAAACTTACCCGTCTATAATTTTCGGTTAAACTGTTATTTCTGCTTTTTTGGGATAATAAGGAGCTATACGGTTGTGAATTTCTTAAGTATTACATGTATTGTTTTTATTTTTTAATTTTGTTTACGGAATTCGAAGTTTATGTGTTAATTCAGTACAACAGGAAATCTTCCGAATAAAGCTACATCTGATCATGCGTGTTCTGAAGTAAACCAATGCAACTGAATATGGAACTCCTACCCAGATTTAACTTTTGCCACCCCGTCATGTACATTTTCCACGTTGTAATGCTTCATGTTATCATAGATTCTACGCATGCGCGGATCTCGATTAAACTTGAAGTAGGCTTCAGTGCTGCTCGACTTCAGAGTTCCAAAGTGGAAACCGGGGGGAGGGTTAATCATCTGTCAAAGGAGAGAAAAAAAAAATAAATGAAAGTCAGCATATCTGGGTCGGTAAGACATTAAAGTCAAACAATTATCTGGTACATACAAATTTTGCCACAATCTGTTGCTTTAGATAAAGGAAATTTATCTCCATGTACACATACCATAAGAAGGCACCATTCTGATATGACGAAAAGCATGAGATAATAATTTTTCAGTATTTCTTTGCACACGAGGGGTTGCACCTACTGTTATAACGGTAAACTTTTGGGGCTTAAACCTTTGACCCTTAAGAGTGCCTAAAATCTCATTTCTCCTTATAAAATCACTCCTGGTTCAAACATTAAGGATGGGAGAATAAAAGACATGATCACCAGTTGAAGAAACTATTGTTGTTAGACAAATGCTCCTTGCAAGTACTGTAGGAAATGTATAGAGAACAGTATAGAGAATATGCATACTGATGTTAGGGTCTTAAGGGTTAAAGGAAGAGGAAAAGTGGGGCTAAGACGAATGTGGACAAGCAAAGGTGGGAGATGGGAAGGAGTGCTACCACTCAATATTCCATCCATTTTGTCTTTCACAACTGTTCTCCCAGCTGTTCCCTTAATTTATCGTCTCCATCGTGTTTTTGCCTTTCACATCCCTTCCCTTTCAGATGCATAAGCTTTAAGTTTCTTTAACTTTATTGTACCTTTTCGTCGTATATTCCTGTTACTGGTGGCTCAGCGTCATCTTTTACCTTATTAGCGGCTAGATTTGCGGTATATGTGCTGCTCAGGATTATCATGGCAAAAGCAAAGAAGATAGACACTAGGCGAGCACTCAAGCTTCTTGGAAAACCACTTCCCGCTGGCACGTGCACAAGTGTGCTCCACGTGTAAGACATACTCTCCAAGAACGTTATACTTTCTTTCTCACTCAAGCTTTCTGTGATTGCTCTTTTCGAAAAATAACTATTGCTATTAATATAAAACTCATTTGTTTTTCGGTCCAGGTACCACAAGGCAACAAGAATTGTCAGAATGGATAACAAGATAGCAAACCATAAACTTGTTCCAAACGGTTCGAGAAACTCCATAGTTATGAAAGGTTTGGAAGAAACACCGTTGGCAATTACCATCCCAATTCCAACTTCGCCGTAGGGAGTAGTGAAATCCACTACCTGACTGCGCTGTGCGTTGATCGTGATAGTACCTAATGCCATGTCTGCTTTACCGTACAACACTTCACCTATCATACCATTCCACAGACCTGTAACATCATCTATGGCCCCGTACTTTCCATCTGGTACGAGGTATAGTTCATAGGAGAAGCTTAGTTTGTCCTGTATCAAGCCCAGTAAGTCTATCATTAGACCAGATACACAGAAGACGCGCGGCTGATGTGAACTGTTGCTCGAGATGTTGGAGTGTTCGTAACAGGGGACTCCTATTTCGCAAGTCGGCTGAGGTGAATTGTGTTGTAATTTTTCTTTCGTGCAATGCTCTCCATGTTCGGTGCAGCCTGTCACGTTGCCAGCCTTATAAAGGTACTGACCGTGTTCGATACCAACAATTCGAAGACTCTTAGATGCAACGCCAGGTTTGGGATCGAATTTTGGAAGAAAGTTTTCTTCAAACTGAAAGCTTCCGTTATTTTGAAACGTTGCAATTTTCCTCCAAGATTGCCTCAACACAGGATTAGTTTCTAGCTTTAAAATGTCGTAAGTATCGCTGACAACTTGCTGATTCAACGTCAAACTTTGGGTCGTCGGTCTACAAGGACTGTGGAAAGATCATGAAATTACGAATTTATAAATACCAAAATTTGGAAATTTTGTTAACTTATTGGCGTTATGAGAGCCATCTTTAGTGAACGCTTACCTTATCAACTTTTTAAAAGACGTCCTATGAAACACGCCATCACATGACCCGTTTGGGAGTGGAACAGTCAGCACTGATTCATTGGAGTCAACTTGTGTTGAAGAAGCAAGAATCTGTAGTGCTTTTAATGCTGTGTAATAAAGTTCAACAATAATGAAATTAATAATAACAATGTACATGAAAACATTACGCGCTTCTGATTGGTTGAAAACGAGTGCATTCTCATGTATATAAATAGCGAGCGCACGCTTTCAAAATTTCATCTGTCTTGAATTTTTGTGATGTTTATTTGTACATTATTAACAAGTAACGATTTATCTCGCAAAATTTGGTGTAATAAGCACTTGTAAATTTTTAAAAGACTACAAATTGCACTTGCCTTTCGGACTCGTGCAATTTTGTTGTCTTTGAAAAGTTTACTTGTGCTTATTGACACCAAATTGCGCTAGAAATCATGTTATTACTTATACTAACTGAATTCAACGCTGCATAATAAATTTCAACAATAATAAAATTAATAATTCAATAATTTTTTCCAAGTGCGTACATAGTGAAGCTATCTACGAGGGCTCTATGCTAATTAAGAGTTTTAAATTGTCCCTACCTATTGTTTCTTACCTATTGTTTCTTCCGACATGTTAAGTTTAACTCCGATCAAGTTTGAAATGCCAATCGGCATGTCCTGATGCCGATCGTTTGTAACGTTTAAGGCTTGAATGACTGCCTCCGTTCCAATCCAAAGAAAATCTTCGGAAACCATCCCTAACTTCGTCGCAATCTTAAAAACAGTTCTTACCAACTCTTCCCCACAGGTCAAAACGATCACTTTGATTTCCTGGATTTTAATCTTAGTTAATACTTCTGTAACTTGAACCACAAGTGTAGTGAAGTCAGCATACTTTCCTTTGGATACGAGCGGTGTCATGAAGACATAACCATTCTGATTTGTATCCGGTGAAAAACCCTCCTGAGCTAGCTTCTCGTTTTCTGTGTGCATTTCATACACGATAGAATATTTTTTAACTTTCAGAAAATCTAGTGTGGCTTGAATCACTTTAGATTGTTGAGTTACGGGAGGTTGAAGATATTTGTAGTTATAATACACCTCCTAATGGACGAGAAAAATGTTCAGAAAATATGATATGTTAGGATATTACAACGAAGCATCTACTGAGTTGATTAATGGCATAGGTAAATAAATATATCACTTGATATCACAAATATCACCTGACTTTGTAAGCAGCGACTTTATCATTCTTTTCAGGCGAGACATTGTATTCTTCTAGAACTTTAGGCTTGGATAAAATTTCGAAGTAGGGTTACTCGTTGCACTTATCTATAAATATTGAAAGATGTGTCTTGCTACTTGGTATCAACGTAAACCACGCAACAAAGTCAGTTTCACAGGCACTTTCTCGCAAAATCGCGTTTCCGAACCATGATCATTTTCGCCAAAAAAAAATTTCCAAACTTTGATCTTTGCGAACAGTTTCAAGAGACTACTGACCTTTTTTCACTTCAGAATCCACACTTATGACTTAATCTTAAGGTTTACTAACTGTTTATGACCGTGGTCGAAATGACCGGCACTCTATTTTTTGGTCAGCCTGGTGAAATGAAAGTCGTACATGTAAAAATTTCTAAGAAGTAGGAATAGCATCCCACTAGACTTAAACGCCGTTGACTGGTGGACACTGATTTATATTCGTCTCTAAATGCATGCAACTAACCTGATTCTCCATCGCCGAATCCCTGTTTGTACCCAAACTTAGCAGGGGAACAACCGCCAACATTTTCGTGAACTTGTAAACTGTTAAACCTTCGGTCGCAAGAAAAACTGCCTGAACTTTTCGTGGCAGTAACTCATGGCACAGCGTATCTAGAATTTTTCCAAAGGAGTTCAAGTCTGTTTTAGAAACAGCTATAAATTCAAACTTTACTTTTTGCGACAGCTTGTCGTTCAGTCTCAAAGCATCATGAAAAATTTTAGTCCAGTTTGTATTTGAAGATGTATTAGTGATAAGACCCAACGGAATGGTTGGGTTTTCCTGTGCTGAAATCACAGTGTTAAAAAAAAGTACCAGACTGTATGCTGTAGCAATAATCATCGTCGAATATTTGTAGAACATCACTGAAGACATAATTTGTAGTGAATACTTGGTATGATACAAAATGAAAAGATGTACTGTCCGCGCTGAACCTGCAATGAAATTACTAAGCTTACATCCATGCAGAGCTCATTACTTGAACCTTTAGGGAGCAGTTCTGGGTAAATTCGTACTTTGTACACTGGTGTTCACTGATTCTTCCAGAGTTCTCGGTAGGATTTGAACGGTTTGGTTGAATACAGCCCAAGTAGGTAGGCGCAAATCACGAAATTTCTTCGGTTAACCAAAGCTAATTGTGGTTTTTGAGTTGCGGTAAAAAAAATCGACCTGACAGGAAGTTATTGAGTCCTTATCATGTGCTGATATGAACCAAGCGAAAAACTCAAATAGAAATGAAAGACTTCTGATATATTTTAACAAGTCGCTATCGTCTCTTTAAACAAAGTTAAATCCTGCCAATTTTTCGGCAGGTGCGTAACTTGTCTCCAGCGGAGGAATATTAATGTTATTAGTGGGGAGTTCATCAAGTGATAGAACTCAATTCAAAACATCATCGTGCAGGCATATGGCGTAAATACGTACATTGAGCCTGGTAATCTTCATGTTGCTGATACATGCTCGATTCTCGCCCAGAATCAAGAATTTTTTTTGTACTAGAACATTATAAAATAAACTCCATCCGTTAATAATCCAGTCATTATCGTCAGAATAACATCAACTGGTCCCCTATTGAGTCGTCCTCCCAGCCCCCGGAGGGTGTTTCCAACCAACTGGAAAACATTGAAAAAGCCTCCTATGGAAAAGATTGTCTTGTGTAGGATATCTCGCCACACAGGATGGATTTCACCACAGCTTCTCGAGAACTGTTCATCAGGAATAGACAATTACAATTTGCTGTCAGGAAATGAGGGGTACATGCACTTACTGCATGAAGAGTTTTTTTAATTTTCTGTGGGAAACGAGTGCACGAGAGGATGTTTTTCGGATGCGAATCTTCCCTCCACTGATGCAAAGCTGCATCTGGTCAAATATGGTATGGGAATTTTAAAGTAGTATCTTCTTGGTTCTCAAATACTCCGGAAGGATATACAAAACTCTTACTAATCGAGTTTGGGTTCTATAGGGTAAGCTGGACCAAGTTATGTATGACTCTAATAATTAACACAAAGCCCATGGGCCATAGATCAGTCAAAGGCAAAGAACGAGGATATATCACTTACTATGAGGTCCGAGAAGACGAGGTTAGTAAAATTGTTATCTGTAGTCTGTCGGGTATAGGAAGCGGATTGGAGTTGAGACGGCTTCAAAGGACTGACGCATTTTAAAAGTAGAACGAGTCAACAAAGACAACAGCAACAGGCTTTATTTTATTTCATCACTATAGCAGAATATTGCCTTATTGCAAAAGTGATTTAAATCAAATTATGAAGGGACGATACAAGGAAAAAGGAAAATTAAAGAAATGACAATAATCATTTATTTTTTGTTTGGCTAGGTAACGAATGAAATGAGTTTGTCTTGTAACTCAAAGCATAAAGAGATCAACAGGAAAAACTGAATAACGGTGAAATAATAATACAATTCGTAAGATGTGGAATATATCCATTCCCAGCACGTTTTAACCTCCATTTTTAAGAAACAAAGGTCATGGGTTCAAATCCCGTACAGGCCGGAATTTTTTCAGGCCTTGTTTTCTTCGAAGATTGCTTGCATATTCACATATCACGAAATAGATACCAACTAACTTAGCCAATCTGATGACGCAACGCTAGCAGATTTAACTTTGAGTACAGTTGAGCCCGCGGCAATCACATGCTAGCAGTCTGTTGTCAAACAAAAATGGCGGAAGACGTAAACAACGAATCTCCTCCATCGAAAGTGGATGAACGAAAAATCGTGGTGGAATTTTGCCAGCTGCAGGAAAAATCCCGACAGCTTTTTAACGCGCTAAGGTATTGTGATTTTCTCTCTGAGTTAAGATTATCGGTAAATTACCTCAATACATCCCCTGATTCCCCGGAAACCTGAGCAGCTAAGAGGGCGTGTAACCTTTGGTCAGCTTTGTTTATTGTAAGTTTAACTTTGTTTTCTCATCGAAGTCATTAGTACATTTGTGATTCTTGACTGCCAAGGAAAGTCATTTCACTTTTCTCAGCATCAGTTATTAAACCCTTGAGTCGTCACAGATGTTTCTTGTGTGGTGTGATAGAATGTTCGATATTTGTTCGACTTTGGGATAGGGGCAAGGTCCGAGGCTATTTACAGCCCGATCGCTGTACGAAAAACCTATTAAGGAAAATTCTGCATATTACCTTACAACAACGTTCTTGTCTTCAACTCAGTCACATAGTTCTTTGTTCTCTGTCCGAAAATCCTGATTAAGCATGTATTGTAAGTTAGAGGCGCGCGCAGTTTAAATAAACAACATCGTACAACGATTGAAATCGGATATGGCAGTTAGTCATCTCGATAGATTTTTAAGGGGTACTGTTAAGCTTTTGACCCCCTAAGAATGACTGGCGTCTAATTTCAGAGATTTTTAATTTTAAGAGACAGTTAAAGGGTTCCATAAGGCGCAGATCTCCATGAATACAAAATTATACGCTTTATGTTTTTATCTTCACTGTGCCCTCAATTAATCTTCATTGACATAATGGTTATGTTGTTCCTCCCCTATTGCAAACTTTGAAAATTTATGAGGTTATAATAATTTTTTAACTTGATATCTATGACAGAGACTTGCCCCAGTTTGGACACAAGCACTGGCAAACACATTTTGGCAGAACATTTGATGTCTACACAAGGGTGAATGTGACATTCTGATTGTTTTTAAAAGTACATATGATAAGTTTTATGCACCTTTCATTATTTTTGTCCTTTTAGTGTGGTGCGTGTTTTCTTATTTTGATTGTGAATTTGACATCACTAAGTTAAACACCTAAACTTTGTTATTTTATCAGCTGTGGAAATTTCAGCAAAACCACAGGTATGTGTTTACTGAATAAAATGTTACAACTTGTTGTAAATTTATCTGGAGATCTTTCCTTCTTTCACCAAGAATTCTTTGTTCTTTTAAAAGTTGTTCCCTTCATATACCCAATTATTTGGTTTTTGTTTGGAGAAATGAACTAAGAGAGGTTTAAATTATGTGTTGATACATCTATTCTCACTAAAAACTTATTGATGGTAATCAGCTTTGTCTCTATGAGTGACCTTTATTAATTAAAAATTTAAATGTTGTTTTCTACACCGATACTGTTAGTTTATTCAAGTAATTCTGGTTATGATCACCTTGCAATCCTGAAGGTACTGTGCATGTAGCACAATTGTTAGTAAAGGGAAGTACATTTTAGTTTCTTGCACAAGCCTTACAGTGACTTGAAAGACTCAATTTGTCCTTTTCAACTGTGGCTGTCTTACAAGTAGAGAAGTTCTTAGTTATTTCCTGATTGAGTGTGTGGTGGATGAACGTTGCATAGTAGTTATGTTTCCTGTATATTAAGCCACTACCTTGGATTCACAAGAATGAATTATTGGTCTAATTTTGTGATATAAAGCGGCAATTAAAAGCAGTTAGTAAAGTTTGTTAAGAAGCTTCAACTTAGTTTTTTTTTTAACCCTCAATCAATTAAAAGTACTCATCAAAGTTGGCTTCATGTCAATTGGCAGAAATCAGCCAAAAAAGAATATGTTCAGTGAAAATTCCATATTTAAAATTTATTTTTGAAACATCACCATGTAAAATTGTATTTTTGTTTTCCTAGATCTATTCTGGATATTCGGTATAACCTTAAAAGATGGCAGATAGGAGAAATTGCATCAAAAATTGGACAACTCTATTATCACTATTAGTAAGTATCATTTTTCTTTTGTATACCTTCTTAAATGTGGCTGGCATTGTTCAAAAAGAAATTGGTATAATTTCTTCAGTTACATTTGTAATCATGTGATTATTGCTCACCTCTATGTGGCTCCCTCTTTGTGCAAAGGGGAAGGGGTGGGGGGTCACAGTGGTATCAGTTAGGTGTTCATGTTTATGCTCTCTCTTTTCGGGGCTGGTGGGGAAACAGGTGCATGATTTCAGAAGAAACTTTGGCTGGTCTTCTGTTAGAATTCTGTGAAACAAAGGATAGCCTAACCTGAAACAGAGAAGGACATTACATTTCATAGGAGGGTAAAAATTGTTGAAATTCTCTCTCCACTTAAAACACTATATAATAGGGTATATCAAAATAGTGGTGGTTGAGATGAACGGGAAGTTATGAGACTGATTAGTTGTGACATTGTGTGGCAAATGTTGGAAGGAAAGAGTTGTAAGAGCAAGAACTAGGAAACCCAAGTAACTTGCAATATCCTCATATCCTCATCAAGAACATAGGCCCCCCCCCCCCCCCACAAGCCTCACCCAACAGTGATCACATGACCTCTATACCGGTTGTATGACTTTTCTCATTCTTTTGCTTTCCTATTTGTTTTTATTTACTAACGATTTCCTTTACAGTCTTAGGACAAGTGAAGCAAACTACCTTCATGAGTCATTTGGGTTTTATTCTGCCATTCGATCCAGGGCATACTACAGTCAGGCAAGCAAGGAAGACAAGTAAGCAAGTGGTATTGTTTCAGATACTGTTATAAAACTTAAAGGAAGGATGGGGGAAGGTGTACAAGAAGCAAGTGGTGAAAATAGAACAAGCAGCTTTTTTTAATTAAGAAATATTAGACCGTATTAGATATTGTGGACCCTTAAAATAGGTGTGAGACAAGCCAAAGTACACATACATTTTCTACAGCGTTTTAAAAAAATATTTGTCTTGAATTGCAACTTATTTCTACATATATAAATTACTATTTTAAACTTGCAACTATTAATTGTTGTGGTATGTATTTCTTCAGGCCTGATTTGATGGTGAAAAAACTCCGTTATTATGCACGCTTTATAGTCGTCAGTCTTCTCCTCAACAAGGTGGATCTTGTGAAAGAATTGATACAGGTGCTTTATTTTTTTAATTTTTGCAAATCCTTGTCATTCTAGGGTTTCCAAGTCCCACCTATGTTTGATCTGTAGCGAGTCCCAATCCGCTAAAGCAAAATTTCTCGTTTCTCTTTCCAGGAACTTTATCATTACGTCGAGGAATATGTTAATGTGTATGAAGCGGACGACGATGAAGAATGGAGGTTGGTGATCAGTGAAGTGACAGCCTTTATGGAGGTATCAAAAATGTTTTATACTTTTCATGGCAACTTTTGGGCCTGATTGGATACCTTTTTAATTTTACAACTTAATAGCCTTGGTAAAGTAAGTCCAATGGCGAATTTTCCGGTCAGACCTGTTTTTTCTTTCCTAAACAGGCAGACTCGTTGGTAACAGTCATGACTCCGGATGTTGTGCCGGTCACTTTATCACATAGAATGGGAGAAAACGTTTGTACATTTTTTTATTTCAAGTAAATCAACCAACTTGATCGTCATCTATTTGTAGAAGTCCGTGTTTTTAAGTTTATTTGATTAATAAGATGCCTGATTTTGTATGGGTAAAAACATTATTTCGAGTGTAATTTGGTGTTAGTAAGCGGGAGTAAATTTTTCAAAGAGAACAAAATTGCTTTTAAAAGCCTGTACGACGAGTGCAATTTGTAGTCTTTGAAAAATTTACGAGCGCTTCTTTGCTCCAAATTGTACTCGAAATCATGTTATTATAATTATGGTAGTAATTCATTTGTTGTATGATTGCATAAATTCTGATTGTCCGGGTGAGGGTAGTCTTGAGAAGGACTGTTGCCCATAGTGGAGACTGAGTTCTCGACAGCCTTGATAGAAGTCATAACCTGAGTGAGCTCGATCAGGACTACCCAGTCTCTCACACGGACGATCAGACTAAACGATCCAATATTACCCCATGGCACAAACCATTTACTGTATTGTATGTTGCATCTTCTCCAGGAGATTCCTCCTCAGAGACCGGTCAGTGGCACATCGTTATCTTTACAAGAAATTATTATTGTGGGAAACTGTGAAAAGCAGGTATCTCATTGAATTTTTTCTTTTTCAGACGCGTGTCACATATGCACCTAGCAATGAGCTCGCTCTCTGTAAAGTCTCTGTGGCCCAGTGGCACAGCATCGGAGCGCGGAATCCAAAGATCTTGGGTTCGAACCTTAAGTACCATTTCTCTTGAGCTGAATAAACCAAAGTTTTGAAGATTTCACATAATCTCACATCAATCCGATAAACGCTCACTTGGCGCATTTTTATTTTAAAAATTTGCTTCTCACGTTATTGTTTTTACAGGTAAAATTCAGCGAGTTAACTTTGGACATGTTTCGTATGCTGCAAGTTCTGGAGCGAGAGCCTGAGGATGCACCTTCGCGTACTTTGGTGACTTCTACCGAGGTGTCTGAGGGTCAAGATAATCAAGTATGTTGTAATCCAAACACTTATTTCGTTTCAGGACGCTTGTTACACATGAACCTAGTATGTACGTGGCCCGGTTAAGCAACGAGTTCTCTGTGTCTTAGTGGTAGCGCGGATGAGAGATTGGCTGGAGCACAATTTCTCATTTGGGAATTAGGATTTTTTCTGTGTTCCACGCTCGCGATAGGACGGAATATCAAATTTTTTATTTATCTTCTTTTATATCGCTGATTTTTTCAAGGAAGTCAATGGTGTGGATCGATCGTCTTCCAAGCGACCAAATCCTCATAAATATCTCCTGTATAAACCGACACTGACTCAGTTGTATGTGTTTCTGGCCTGTGGTATTAAGGTGAGTATTCACTTACTACTGGTGAGTCTGAGGCATGCAGAATCAAACCTCAATACTACATTGGCTGGTTATTGATTAGCTATAGACACTCTATGATATTTTCTTTCTTTAACCTACCAAATCCAACTGAACGCAAATCAGGTAAAATGTTGACTCGGCCTTCTCGTGGTTTTCATTCTTATTTCATTGGCATTAAGATTTGCCATTTTTAAGTCTCACGGAAAGCATTTGAAAGGATGCGAGAAAAGTCAACCCTTTCACACGGTGTTTTTACGTGTTTTTCAACTATTTCTCGAAGCCTACATGTAAGGAAGAAAAAAACTTGCCCTCACACTTGCGCTTCAGGGCCTCGACGATGATTTTGACTAAACACTAAAAACCACAAGTTTTAAACTGACATGACCTACGAAGCGTCCGAGGACTGATGTAGGTTCCTAATGTGATGTTTAATCACATTAATGGAGAAAGATAAGATTAATAGAGAAATCACATGAATGTTCTTAATGTTCAAGCTACTATCCTTGTTTAAGGAACTTCCAAACAATGGCGTCATGTTGGTTTATGTGTCCGGTGATGGTTACTTTGGAAATGCGAAAGCTGGAGAAGAAGGTAAGTACACGTCAGTTGCATTTTCAACTCGTTCCAGTCTTTTCACTCCGGAAGGTGCTTCATCATCGCCTGCAATGTCTGCTTCTATGACTCGTGACTCGTTCCCAGCTCTCTTGCGCTTCCAAAGACCTGTAAGAATCAACTGGTCGCTTACCATAAAAATTGCTCACATGATTCTTTTCTGAGGAGATCCTTCTATCTCGTCAGGTCCCTACGAACAGGGAGGCGTCGCTATGAGCCACAAAAAAATATCAAACGAGGAAGCAGCGAGACGAACGAGAACAAACCTGAAGGATGTTCATTGGTGCGTTGAGTGATTTCCATAATTGTTAATTATTATATTATATATATTTTTTAGTGAGCACGAATCGCTTTTGGACTCACTTTTCACGGCCTCACGACCTCACCCCCAAAAATGAAATGTTCAAAGGAAATTTTTAGTTTGTTTAAATGTATTTGGCTTAACCCGAACAGTTTAATTGGTTCATAAAAGAAGGGAAATGTTCTCACATTTTTATCACCTTTTGAAATAAAATTCTTTTTAAAGATATTGAAAAAGGTATGGACTTCAACATTGTATAAGGGGTAGAGGGATGTTTTTTTCAGAGTGGAAAACGATGATTGTAACTTAGTTAAAATTAGTGCATAAGTATATTAGGTCGGTGTGGTCTCGTCAGCTCGTCGATAGGGCATCTTAACGGTAGTCAGAGGCTCGTATGTTCCATCCTCGTCAGGTATTTTTTTCTTTGTCTTCGCACGTGGCAAATTAATTGCAAACATCTTTTGACTTGTTCTAGCTTGTACCCAGAAGACCTTGTGCCCTTCAGTAGGAAGCCTCTTGTGGTAATAGTAGACAGCTCAAACAGTCATGCTTTCAGGGTAAGTTCTATGTGGTGCCCTTTTATCTTTCTTAAACCATAAACTTTTATTGCACGGTTGCACCCAATAAATCACTCTCTTGCTCAATACTACCATTCCCGGTGGTACACAAGGCCTCGATTTGTTATATCCAGAGACTCAACCTTTTCAACCTTGTTGAAAAACTATTTACCTTTTTCTAGAAGAATAGTTTGTAACTGTTTTCTTTTTTATTCTATGATGGGGGAACAAAAAATAAATTTGGGTCTTTATTCACTTAAAGAAGAAACACTTTTTCTTTAAAAGTCCCGTGCTTACTTGTTTCGAACTTGTAGAAAACTGAGATTAATCAAGTCTGCGCGCATTACTATCGCTAACATTATTTCATTCGATGGTTTCGTCCAATTGTTAATACGACTGTTCTAGTAACAAAGAGATTTTTTATTCTTCTACAGTATTTTCCAAGTTTATTTGGACAACCGCTGGTCTGTTTGATGTCACCAATTACTGTTCCTACTACAATGCAAGGTAGGGTTTGTCCCATTTCAATAACATCGGAGAAACAGAAAGCACGATGATGGACAGAAGTTACAAGCGTAGTTAGTATAAATTTTTTCTGGATCAATGTCAGTATATGAGCAACTACGTACCTACCCCTCCCCTAACTCAACACCAGTCAACTGATAACAAGTAAGGCCCTAATGATGGGTTAGGGGAGGGGTAGGTGCGCAGTTGCTCAGATACTGGGAAAAATCAATTTTTTGGCAAATAGCATTTTGTTATAATTGACTTGGTGGCCAATTTATGCAAGAAGCCTTTCTGTAGAAAATCTCTTTCGTTTTTAAATTTCAAGTAGCAATTTTTCTCTTCCTCTCCCCCCTTTGTATTCTTTTTGTATTTACGCACGGTGCGCGCGATTTCATAAATTAGCCAATCACGTCAAAGAACTCTAACCTTGACATTGGAAAACTGACGTGAACATTTTCACGTACTTTTAGTTTGTTTTCGCGGAGTTTTAGTTTTGTTGTTTATGAGCTTTCGTTCGCGTAAATTTGTTACACCTTTGTTTGGAATTTTAAGTAGTTACAGAGTTTCTATTTCAGCCCAATGTTGTGGTTCATGTAAAAAGTTTAATACATATTTCCTACGGAGTTTGGACTCTAGCCTCCTTTTTCGTAAATGGATTTTTTACACTTTCGTTACTACGGTCCTATAATTTGCCTGAATATTTAAATTATGTCTGCGAGGTTGTGCATGGTCTGTTTCTCGGATTACTTACTTTACAGAACAAAGTCGGAAGGGGAGTCTCTTCACTCTGTTCCTCTTCAATCCGCTGGTTGCCTTCTGCTATGTGAGCAGCATTGCCGATCTTCGCAGTGACTTGTGGGATAGCTGTCAGCGGCAAGTTCGACGAATAATGAACGACATCCTTCGAGTATTTTACGATTGGTCTCGATATGTCGGTGAGTCGTCGGAGGCGCCTGAGTGCAACCACTGCTGGAAACTGGTCTAAACTTTGCAATTGGAACTTTATTTATTTTATATTCCCAAATTTTGACATACTGTCGAAGATAAGATGAGAACTCACTTTTCTTTACTCGACGACTGTACTCAAAATTTATCATCTCTTTGCTTCTGACATCTCTTTTCTTTTGTCATAACGCATTAGAAATTACTGATCGTAGCTCGTAACAGTATGCAGGACGCATGTCACATCTGAATCTAGTTATTTCTTCAGTCGCAGTTGGTTTCTCTGCAGCTCAGTGATAAAGCACAAGACACCTAAATCTGGGATTCGAATATTCGTGGGAACTTTTTTTTTTCTATCTCTTATGCTCGTGCTTAAAACGATTGACACATTTCCCAATACGTAGACAGATCTTAGAAATTACTATGTCTCCGATAACATACGTTTTTATCTAGATCCAGTATTAAGATCTTGGGGTATTTACTGTAGAATTTCTTTTGAATTCTTTCTCTCGTTTTTTTGTTTCATAGAATTTGAATCTGTCAGTAATACTCACATTTCTTCAAAAAGTTTTTGGATTACTTAGAGTAAGGAATGCAAGATAATCTTTTTCTTTCCTTTGACAGATGTTGTGTTTATTCAATTCCTTGACGACGAATTTCTTCGGCTGATGATTCTCCGTTATATTTTCTGTTTCTACACAATGCATCTTCATCGAGCATTTAAGGTAGGGCAGTCGATCTGGGCATGGAACAGCTTTTCAGTCTTGAATTTAGCCACTGAAATGTTGTCGAAATGTGTTTTTAGGAAAAAACGAATGATCTTCCCTTGACTCAGTTTACCAAATAGGATTCATGTGAGCAGAGAGCAGTTTTTAATTCATTGTCAAAGGAAACCGGAATTGCATCAGTTTTGGTTTTCTTTGCTCTGTGATCGGTCCATAAAACTCGCTCTACTCTATCAAGTACTCATATGGAAAACTACATAACTTGGTCACCCGCGTTTTCCTGCGCTTTGGGCAATTTTTTTTGGCTTTACTTTGAGTTCTTATTGGTTATCAAGGGTATATTTCTTTCATTTGATTGGCCGTTATGATAACTTGGTTCTGGTGTTACGATACTCGTCGAAAAGTGCTTTATGATATCGATATCCCAGTCGACGTGTTTTTTGTTTTAATTTTTACAAAGTTTTTTGTCTGTAGTTTTCTCTCAGATAATTCTAATGAGCTCATTGTGCTTTCCTTTGTGTTTGTTTTCCCTTTCTTTAGGGTTCAGACTTCTACCCAAAAAGTTTTCCAAGATTACCTGCAAAGGAAATTCTTCTCAACGGCAGCATAGAGAAACAAGTTCTTGAGCTGGCCTCCATGTTGGATGTACGGAGTCTTTTCTACGAGATTGGAGAAGGTCCTCCCACGGATTAAACGTTTTCCATCTACTAGCGTCTCTTACGATGATTCCACGCTGGCGTGACATTGAGGTAGGCGTGACAGGCAGGAGCGACAACATTTGTGAACAGACTGTGTGATACGAGCATTCAGGCTGTGAACTTCTGTTCAAAGGATAATGGATTTTTGATTACTCGAGGAAAGGAGTTACTTGAATGATTAAACACACCGATCACTGGCAGATGAACCACATACGTGTTAAAACTGTTCAAAAGATTGAACACGATTAGTCTTTGCTGATATGAATACTGGATATCAAACAGAAGATCTACTGGAGACTGAAGAATCAGCTACTTTTGGTCTCCCGTACTGCAAAGATGTTTGTATCGGTGTTAAAGACATTCTCATCACCAGTGGAAAAAAAATATAGATGTACATAAAAATCCATTAGTCTGTATAACGCTTGCACTTGTGGATAAAGTTTTATTTTTGTACTTTTTTTTTGGCTTTACTTTTTTATCATCTGAGAATTTTTCAACCCTGAAAATGATTGATTGGAAATTAATTCCCAGGATAAGAGGAATTCAAACGGAAACAGATTAACACGCTGTCACTCACATTTGCTGTTTATGATATTTTCTTTGCCAGATGCAACCTTTTACCCTTATTCATCACCTGACCATCCCTATCTCTGTTAGAACAGAGAAAGAGGGAGGGGAGGGGAGGTTCAGGAAGTGCGCGGTGTGTTCTCATTATGTCTGAGTGGTTAGCTCTTGTCCGTCGCATAGACACAATAAAAGGTTCTCATATAGGTGATGGCTTTACGGCAACCGGTTAAAATTTGGTCATTTTTCAGCTAATGGTTCGATCATTCTCGTCAACGTTAACGGAATTTTTTTTCGGTTAACCTTTTTTCAACGACTAACGGTTAAAATTTGTCAATTCTTACCGTAACGGCTAATTTTATTTTACTGTCACGGTTTACGGCTAACAGTTAACCTCATTGAGACCCTCCAGAAAGTGATGTAATCCTAACATTCCAATGATATTTTGAAAGAACATTCCAATAGTATTAAACGTTTATTTCGATTTTTGATGAATCTGTTGCACCGCGGCACCAGGTCCGATCTGTTCACTTGGTAAAAGAAAGAAATTCAAGATATTAGTAACAAAATATTTCCTTTTTCATTTCATAGCCGGTGATCTCGCCGATAAATATCCAAAAAAGGCAAAATACTAAAAATAAACGTCAATATTACTCCAATGAACGTTGTTACTGTGGCGCTCACAGAGAAGCGCACCTCTTTCTCAGTGACGTCAACAAGAAAAATCACTCTTGAGAAATGTGTGTTCATTTACAAAAACATCTCTCGGTTCGTGCGTACTTATAATTATTTTATTTTCGGCGATTAATTCTTCAAACACCAGCTGGAACAGCAGCCATTTCACCATTGATAATTTCGTATTATCAATTGAGTTGAAAGTGTACCGAGAAAAGCAAGTCATGTTCCCACCAAAAGCGTAGCTCCATCTTCTACATTTAAACACGCACACAACCTACACCTCCTCCATTCGCTTTTACGAAGGGCTAACGCTTGAAACGTAAGTTGTGAAATTTTTTTACGGTGGTCAATTTACATTATCAACTTAGTTGATACTATACCAATTACCCTGTTATACTCTACCACCGACGCAGCACCACAGTTCCTTTAAAAACTTACCCCCCTTATTTAACTACTGCATCGAGTCTCCATAAAGTAACGAAGTATGGAATCAGGGTCACCACTTTCCTCACAAAAATGTCATCATACCAAACTAAACGAAGAGGAAACTTTTGATGGCGATCAGAACAATCAAACAGAAGAAAGTTTTTCCGAAACGTTCGTTATTCCTTGTATTACGCTAAACGACGGCGGTGGATCAGCAGAAGGGAGAGGAAGCGAACGTGTTAAGAGTAAAAGACAACGCAAACCATTGTCGCCTAATTTCCCAAGGAAATGGAAGAACCTTGGCCGCGATAAGTCCAAAAGAAATGATGCATCCTCTGGCAAACATTTGAAAGTGGATTCATCAGGTAAAAGAGAGCGCGGGAGGTCATGGCCACCGCTTTTTCTGCAAAAGGGAAAATCTGACGAAACAGCAGAGTTTCAAGAAGAGAAGGAAGGCATCAGCGCTGAAAACATCCATCGGAGTGAAATTTCGCGGAGGCAGAGAAGAAATGCAGTTTGTATGATCTTAATGCCCGCTCGATATTTTAAAGTGCTTCCATATTTGAGATTATTGTTTAAAATAAGCATGCTCTCCGGTACTGACTTAGTTTAAAGAGACACACTCAGGACAAACTTTCAGTTATTGTTCATGACAGAAAGTTTTCATTATGATCAGTCAGTTAATAATAGTAATAATGATAATGGTGATAATAATAATTACGAAATAATAATAACAGTTGCGAAATAAAAGTAATTAAAGAGGGTCTCAATGGGGAGATGACCGTTTACAGCAAACAGTTGAAATGTTGGCCATTTTACGGCTAAACGGTTAATGTATTTCTGTCTGTCCTTCTAATACTTAAAAGGAAAATTGTATGGTTAACTTATTACAACGAACGGTTGAAATTCGTCAATTTTCACGCCGAAAGGCCGGTTAACCCCATTGAGACCATCTTAACACCGAACATTTTGACTTTATACACCCTTTCATCTATAGTAATTTTAACTTTTTTCCTTTGCTCTGCAATTTTTTTCCACGTACGGGGTAAGGAAAAATACGAGCAGTGAGCAAAATGACAGGTCGTTTTATGAGTAAAACCATCGAATGAGGGATTACTTTTTTCCAGTGTTTTGGCTCCTGGAGTTCAAAATGACATTCTATAGCCTTATCTGACTATCGTATCGATCGCACAAAACATGTGAGAAAACCGAAAAAAATTCTGAAACGAAGCAATTCACATGTTTTTGATGCCTAACTAAAACATCTGATGCCTAATAAACGACCCAAAAAAAAATCAAAGGGGCCATTTTGTTTCTCGCTTTCCGTTAGTGTAATGCCCTGCTCTATCTTGTAATTCCTTCGCATGTTTACGCGTTCCGCTGCCCTAATATGGTTAAATGACTTAACATTTAATAATTATTCACCGCAGTGGAGGTGAGAGAAATCAGTCGAACCTGTATACGCAACACCGTATTAAGCGGTCACCCGGTAATGAGCGGTCGCTCTTAAAGTCCCGAAAATTTTCTCCTCTATTAAATTTTCTCCTCTATTAAGCGGTCACCTCTATAACTGGTCGCGTCACCCTTTACTGAGTCCCAAAGACCTGTTTGTATTCCTCCACTTGTATTGAACGGTCACTTAGAGCGCAACCACTAAATGAAACTAAGAATAAACTTCCAAGTCAATTCTAATCAAATTTTAAATAAAAGTTAGTAGTGCTTTTGTGTTAGTTTTGTACATTAAGTTGTCTATTATAGCATGAAATGTCGTTTTTTTCTACGTTTTATAGTACTCCTATTCTATGTAACCTGTCCACTTGTATTAAGCAGTCACCTTGTGGGTGACCGCTTACTATAAATTTGACTGTATTGAAATAGCCGCGAAGCAGCGAGTTCTCCAGTTTTGCCGCTTTCACCACTTTCATTCCTTTTAGTTATACTACTTCGATAAATGGTACTTTTCACGTGAGCTGATTGGCTAGTTTAGTGACTAAAAAGTACTAATCACCTCCGAGTAGCCGATGCTTGCGAGTGTCGATCGCGAGTGTCGTGTGTCAACTTAATTTTAGTTCGTATTTTTTCTCCTTTGTTTCGTTTTTCGTTTATTTTCACGAAACATCTATAGACTAATAAATTCCCACGGGCAAACATTATCCATGATTTCGAATGTCAATCGTCCAAGTGGAAAAAACAAAACTTGAAAAACAAGGCAATCGCTGACGTCATTACCATAACTTTTTGACGTGTTCATAATGCTTGCAAACTAAGTGGTTCTTTGTTACTGACGTCGACGGGAAAATCACCAATAAGCAAACAGTAAACAATATATCCGATTATTTTGGAACACTGTATCAGTTCCTTTTTGAATCGCCAGCTGAAACAAGTATTTTTATGGCGAATGTGTAATACTTTTTACTTGTCAAGAGTGGGGGATTTACACGTATTCTTTACGTTTTCCTACGTCTCTTTTCTCCATCATTATTTTCGCACTTTATGTAAATAACGCCACTCTTACTATATCATTTTTCACGCCCCTTTTTAGCAGAGTGTTTTATTTTGCGTCGACGTAAACCTTTTCCTCCGAGCGTTTCATGTCTTGTATATTCCCTCAGTATTTAGTAAGTTTATCTCGTGGTATCTTCGCTTTTATTTTTCCCGTATTACATGTGAGTACATTTTTGTGATAGTCGTTTTTCTGTTCATTAAGAATTTACTTGTTCTCCAGATGCGTATAAAAGAGTAGTTTAATTGAATGCTGAATAAACGTGTTTGAGGAAGGGGGCCCTTACCTTCAATTATCATTTTACCAATCGAGTCGTCACAAAGCGAAGCAGTATGGAATCAGCACCGCGAAAATGCCCTCATCTTACCGAATTCAAAAGAGAAGAAATTTTTGATGGTGATCAAGCCAATCAGAAAGTGAAGATTATTATCCTAAATCGTCCTTTACGCCAATTCAGGCGCATAGTAAGGGCAGTCGATTAAGCGTGAAGGGAATGAAGGAAAATAGTGTTCAGCGAACGAATTCATGCTCATCACACTTCATACGAAAAGGAAAAGAACGTAAAAATACTAAATCAAGTAAACGGAGTTTACTCTACCAAGAATGTGAAAGCAGAACTATCAGACGAAAAAGTGCGGAGGAAGTCATTAAAATCAGCTTGATATAAACATGGACAGAAAAGCAGTTAATCTTAACTTAATTTGTTCGATGGACAAATGGAGTAAGACAGACAAGCTTGGACTTTCAGTATTTATTACAAAAAGTAATGGAGTAACTCAACAATCATAAAGTAAATGTAAATGATTTGGAATTAATCGTAAAAAAAACACATTAGCTTTGAAAACAGAATTTCCAACATTTAAAACATCTAGTCGATATTTTTTTAACCTCATATGAACCAAGCCCAGAAAAAAAAATTAATAATTTCTCCTCCTGTATTCATGTTGCCACCTTTGACTGTCCTGTTCCAGTCCTCGCAGCATTGAGTCCACGTAACATGAAGAACAAACTTTAATCCTTTCACCCAGGAAGAGTGACTAAGAATCAATTTCTCCTGACAGTACCAAAACAGTAACAAGCGGACTTGTGATGCAACTAAATAAAAAAAAACCAAGTTCGGATTTCAAACTTTTTGATTCTCGCAGGTGCAAATCGCTGCGACTAACATCTGTTGCAGCAATAAGTCGTACACGGTGAGTTAGTGCGAACTGTCGCTGTGACTTGTTTTGAAGCTGGTACACACCATAGCGGCTCGTCGCAAAGATCACTTAGCGTCTCCCGACCTTTTAAGTTCCTCCACTATTAATTTATCATTCCCCGCGCGAATCTGATCAGCCACACGCAGTTAGCGAAGATACTGGGAACTACTGGCATCCCGCAAAGTTCCCTGTAAATCAATTTGACCAGCGGAATTACTATCCAAGATGGCGACGAAGAAATGGCTTTGATTAATCAAACAGCTGTAACATTTTGTCTTATCTCTGAAAATGGTGAGCGATTTTAATGATTCGTTTCTTTGGAGATTTATTTTATTGAAACGTGTTTTTGTTTAGCCGTTGAGAAATTCATACGAGCTTCTCGTGCGTTAGATTAGGAGATCGAAGACCATATTTGTCCCCATCGATCTGCTCGTAGTAAATGCACAGTTTGTGAAAGGATAGCATCAAAATGAAACGTATAGATGATTACGAATGTTGTTAAAACGAATCATTGAAATGAATGTGTAAATTTAGTCCACTCTCTGTTGATGATTTTTTAGGGTTCTCAAGTGAAAGATGTCAAACTCCCTCCTAATTCGCCAACACAACTGGTGTTGAACAAGCACGCTGATTTTATTGCAGCATATGGGAAGAAGAAAGACGACTATGTATGTGAGATGATGGATATGTTAAATTTTTTAAGGAAGATTGTATTCTAACTGACTTACTGACTGATAGATTGATTGACTCACTTAATGGGCTTTGTTCGATGGCTATTTTGCTACAAGTTTCGGTAATTGTGAAGAAGAGCTCCCCAAAAAACCTGTCGGCCGACTGTCGGCCGACAGTCTCGGTTTTCGCATGAAAACGACATCCAACATGTTTAATACGTTGACAATTGACTTTCAAGATTTGGTGGCTCCTAAAGGAGCCGTTTTGTGATTGGTGAAATATACAAGATATTTCACTCGTAGAATCGTGCCTCGCTTGATACAACATCCAACATGTTTAATACGTTGACAATTGACTTTCAAGATTTGGTGGCTCCTAAAGGAGCCGTTTTGTGCGTGGTGAAATATACAAGATATTTCACTCGTAAAATCGTGCCGCGAACTTCATTGGCAACAGCTGCCCCTCTCTCCTCATGTTGCTCATGACATGCTCATTGCTCGTTTCACCATTACGGATTGTTATGTCACGTTATCTGTTCGTTTTTAACACAATTTTTCTTTTTTCTTAACCTGTCGGTAGACTGTCGGTCGACTGTTGGCCGACAGTTGGCCGACAGTCGGCCGACAGGTTTTTTGGGGAACTCTTCTTCACAATTACCCAAGTTTCAGTCACATCGTTCCAAAACGTCGTCGTATCGTTCCACTACGAAGTCACATTGTTCCACTAAAGGTTTCATTTGCTGCACCCCATTAAAGCTCTTTTACTCATATTGAAATCATATTTGAGAGACTTGGAGACAGAAACTTTCTGCACTATTTTAGTACAAAAGCTTACAGAAAAGAATTTACCTTATATCTTTAAAGATGGCCCTTCACTGAATGACTGCCTGACTGACAGACCAACTCACTGACTGACTAGCTGACCAATGACTTCTTGATTGACTTCCTGAATAAGTGACCAACTCACTCAGATTATCTGACCTACAACTGACTACTGACTGACTGACCAACTTGATCACTGACTTCCTGAATAGCTGACTAATGATTAACTTATTGACTGGCCAATTGCCTAAATGATCACTGAAATAATTGACTGACTCTCTGACTATTTGACTCACAACTGGCTGATGACTGACTAACCAACTCACTAACCTCCTGAATAGCTAACTAACAATTATCCTAATGACTGCCCAACTGCCCAAATGAACAATCCTGAACAAATAACTGACTGATTATTTGACCTACAACTGACCTATGGCTGACTGACTTCCTGACTGCCTGAACAGGTGACTAACCTCTGGACCAATTGATGACTTGAACTACTGACTAACTTCCTGACTCACTGACTGATGGGTCAGTGATGTCTGTTTCAAAGAAAACAAGGAAACAAACCAGAAAAACTTTACCCTTTTCCTTCCTGTTTATTTCAATTGGAAATTACTTTTAAAATTAGCAGTTGACCATTGCCTGCCTAGACAGGACAAAGAGCTAATGCTCAAAACATCAGCTTTGTAAACTTTTTAAAGCAGTAAATTTACATCATCATCATAGTTGATAAAACCAAGGTGTCCTAGATTAAACTTAGCCATGTGCAGGCTGGGATAATTTTCATTATGTAAGTAACAAAAGTTAATATTATAATAAAGATTTTTTTGTTGTTAAAAAGATAACATATTGACTTATCTTTTTTGTCATCTTTATACAGTTATACATTAAATAATAAAAAACCAAGTAGAGTGTAGCAATTCCTACCAAACCAGGTGTCAAAGACTACTTGAATCAACCAGCCTTTAATATTTCAGCAAAGCTGACACAGCAATTTTTAGAAACCAGACTTAAAAAAGTTATGGACAAACAGCTCCTCCCTCAACTTTGAAAAATTAGGTAATTGGTGTGATCTAAGTCACCTTAACCAACAACTTTCTTAGTACTGGACTGCCGTTATATATATGGTTATATCACAGGATTATTTCGTAACAGTATTTTGATGATTTTCCATTAGGAGTACTGTATTACAGAATATTTACGCATGAGTGGAGTGTACTGGGGTCTAACATCAATGTTTCTTATGAACAAGCAAGATATGATGGAGAAAGATGAAATCATTGAGTTTGTCAAGTCTTGTCAACATGAAAATGGTGGATTCAGTGCCAGTCATAACCATGACCCTCATCTGCTGTACACACTAAGTGCCATCCAGGTATGGGGGACTGGACTGAAAAACTTCATAAACACTCTCTTCAATGTCATCTTAATTGCTCACTTGGGGCTTACCTTTGAAGCCTGCTGTAATTTCTGTAAAAACTATTTTCAGGGAATGGAACTCAAGAGAGGTCATTTCCATAGTGTCATCTCTTGCTTGTTCCATCTTATAAGATATAAACATTGAACATATGACATCACTCTAAACTTGCAACTTAAGTTTTCAACCAGTTTTAATTTCATTCTAGAAACTGTAAGCTAGCTTACATTCTATAATATTTGCTCTTCAATCTTTTCTGTTCCATTCTTTTGTTTGATAACATCTAAAATTATCACTACTTTATCCAAAGGCATTTAATTCTACCTCTCCATTCCTTGAGCTTGAAGGTCATTTTTATTTATTACTTCCTTATTCTAGGTTTTATCACTTTATGGATGCATTGAACTAATAGATGTCAATAAAACAGTGGACTATGTATCAAAGCTTCAGCAAGCTGATGGATCATTTGTAGGAGACAAGTGGGGTTAGTTTAAACATTTACTTGGTTATCTTGAAAATCCAGCTGAACTATTTCCTGTGCAACTAAAGATGTTGTTTTACATAATCATGTCATGTTGTCCTTCAGTAGCATTTCAAAATGGTAAAATATCATGTAGTTTCATGTGAGGCTTAAATTACTTTAAAAATTAAATACAAGTTTTGACTCATTTTCAGTTTTTGAGAGCTTTTGCTGATCATTGGTAATATTATCATTATCAGATCCTAAATGAAATCATGGATTGGCAAAAGCTTGGAGACTTGGTTTTAACTTGTTTTTTAATTTTTACAGCATTTTAAGGTCTTGCTAGAAACTGTTATACTGTAAAGATGTTGTATTATTTTATGAAACTGTAACCCTTTAAAATATATGATACATGTTAAACTTGGTTTATTCATCGTTAGAATTTGCACCTCTGGTGCTAAGCTCATATTACCTTTGTGGGTTTCTTATTAACCTTAGATAAAGACTTATTAAACTGAGATGATGATGCTTCCATTTGTTATGTAACTATGTGGATTTTTTTTCTAATCTTCAGGGGAAGTTGATACAAGGTTTTCATTTTGTGCTTTGGCTAGCTTAAAGTTGCTGGTAGGTCTGTGTAATTTGATACAAATTCTTCAATTTGATTTATTTTTCTGAGTATTTAAGAACTACTACTTGCCTGTGCTGTGGAAAGCTTGAGGCAATCATGTTTTCTCAACACTGTAACTGTGAATAAAACTTGCATTTTTGAACAAACATATTCATGATTATGATTACAAGTTATCTCTGTCTTTCATCAGGGCCACCTGGAAGCAGTAAACGTACCAAAGGCTGTTGAATATGTGTTGTCATGTATGAATTTTGACGGCGGCTTTGGTTGCAGACCAGGATCAGAGTCACACTCAGGGCAGGTAGTACAATTGTCATTGATTTTACATTACTTTAGATATTTGCCACATACAAAAAATATATATATATATATATAGTTATGTAACTATAGATATCTTTGCAAAAGGGACTTTTCAGAGCCAATAGAGTCAAAATTTCCACATAATCATACAGTTGTTTAAAATTCAATGGGAATGTGGTAGAGGAGAAGACTTAAGTCACATTACAGAAATGGAGTTGAACTCAGAACAGCTTAGAAATAAGTGGATTGAGTTGCAAACTGGTTTGAGTAAATCTGTGACAACAGGATTTCAATTACAACACCATAACCTCTTGGTTACACCACCTCCATATGCAAGGATGGGATATCTCTCAGCACTGAACAAACTTTGGATGAAACTTGATCTTATGTTTGGTCAACATATCCTGTACTCTAAGAACTTGAATGAAGGCTAACTTGTGTTTTATTTCTTTACACTCATGAAGCGGCAGGTGTAATGCATGTTCAACCATTCCTCTTTGCAGATTTATTGCTGTCTTGGTGCTTTTGCCATAGCTGACTCTCTCCATCATGTGAATGCTGATATGTTAGGATGGTGGCTTTGTGAGCGACAACTGCCATCTGGTGGTTTAAATGGTGAGTGACAGGCACTTGACTGTGTGATGGCCGCAGGGTGATTGGAACGGGTAGGACTGCCATTCAGTATGCTGGAACTGTGACTCAAATCTTGTCAGAGTATTTTTTCTTTTCCAAATAACAGCTTAAGATTGCAGAAAACCCAGTTGGGAGGTTAAAGAACAATTCTCAAAATAGTGTCAATAGTTATCCAAGATAGCAATGGTTCTGCCTTACAACTCGCCATGATTGGACCTTAAATTCAGGCTACTATCTCAACCATGTGTTTTCCAAACTAAAAAAATTAATGAAGATTCTTCTTCCCTATTTCTTTTGTTCTGATTGGAGGAAGGGATAGGGTCAGGAAGAAGAGAAAAAATCGGCACTTGTGTTTTGTTTTGGTGTTCTAGTAACATAGAAAAGGGAAAGCTAAGATATTTATTTTAAAATTCACTCTAGGTCGTCCAGAGAAACTCCCAGATGTTTGTTACTCATGGTGGGTGTTGGCATCACTCAAGATCATCGGAAAATTACATTGGATAGATAAGGTATAGACACAACCAGACTGTCAGACAGACAGACAGACAGACCAGACTTACAGACGGACAGACCAGACTGACAGACAGACAGACCAGACTTACAGACGGACAGACCAGACTGACAGACAGACAGACAGACCAAACTGAGGCAGACAGACAGACAGACTGGACTTACAATTGAATTGATATTGTAGGTTGGAAACGGTGAAGGGTTTCTAAAGCTGACTTTTCGAGAGTTAGCCCTTCGTCAGAGCGAATGGGAAAAAGAAAGTCAGTTAGTCAGTCAGCCAGACAGTATAAACATTGATGCTTTTCCGCGAGACAGCTGTTATAATTGTTATATTTAACGTATTTGTGTTTTAGGACAAATTAGAGAGTTACATCCTTGCCTGTCAGGATGAAGAGACGGGTGGATTTGCTGATAGACCGGGTGATATGGTAAGGCTGAACGTTGACCAGGTAGAACTGGGCGACTATCTTTTTTCTAATATAAGAGACAAATTGAATGATAAAGGAAGGACTCGTGAAAGTTAGGGATTTAGCGGAATTTGAGCCAATGAGAAAGGAAAACGAAACGAATATGAAAAAAGCACCATAAAGCTTCTCTTTGGTTCGTTTTGTAAGCTTCCATCAGGCAGTTCTTTGTCTTGCACATACTACAAAATTTCTATTTTACTCAATGTTAACTTACCTCCGCGTAACTTGTCATCCAAAAGGAAGTGATGACATATCCGATCCAACCAAAGTGTCGATTGAAATATTACAATCGTAGCGTCGGCCGCAATCCTACTCAATGTCCTACGTAAGACAAGGAAGACACAAACATCGTACCTGAATGTGTTGATTCCCTAGAGGAGGTCCATGAAATGATGTAATCTAGCGATAAAGGTTATTTTATTTCTTCTAAATGCTACGTGGTTTTAAATTCGTCGTCTTTTCACATTTGCAGGTCGATCCGTTCCACACGCTGTTTGGCTTAGCAGGTTTGTCTCTGTTGGGATCTTCCGAGGTTAAACCTGTCAATCCTGTTTACTGTTTACCTGAGGAAACAATCGAAAATTTAAACATTCGACCTGAACTACTGGCGTGAGGGTTGAACGCGGACTTCTTCAGCTGTGTACACATCGAGTAAACGTGACCAAAGAGTATCCAGTTTACTACGAGGAGAAGAAAGGGGGAAGGGGAAGAACTTGCGATAGTCACGTGAACAGGATTCTTCAGACAACAAGCTAGTGCAGGATGAAAACATACCTTTAATTTCTGGACTGTTTAAAGGCCAGGCCGTAAAGATTTTGGCCACCCTGTTCGTGGTCGTATCATCAAGGAGTCGTTGCACAGCCTTAGTAATTTAAATGAGTTTCGGAAAAATCTTATTGAATTAAATTGGTACCCAAGGTTGTGTAAACTTGGTTGAGTTTCTCTGTTAATACATTCAGATAACACAACACTAACTACTTTGAACGACTGACATCTGGAGAGCTGGTTTACTGACTTGAAACAGCCCCCCCCCCTCCCCCCAATAGGTTTCAACTACTACCGGCACCATACAAACGACTTATTCACAACACTAACGTTACCAACAAACCGAACAGAACGACCTAACTTTATTTTTAGCGTTATTTAAACATCCCTGAGTAAGCTAAAGACGTGTACTATTTGGTGCTTTTGAGACGGTAAGCTGAACATAATTTTACTTATTCCTCGGTCTATTTTCTCTTGGCCAAGTTTAGCGATGCTCTGGGCTTCAGGTTGAAGCCATCGCTAGTGATACCCAGTTATTTTCCTATGTGTTCTTGGAAATGACAATACATTTTCTTTACATTCCAATTGTGAAAAAAGGGTGTCAATTGGTAACAGAGAACTGAAAGTGCAAAAATCAAAAACCCTGAAATTCCAGGTTTACATAGCCTACTACTTTAAGACCGCCAAAGTAAAGAGAAAATTTTTTTGATCTGACGTTTCTTGTTCTAGAAATGTAATGTGTGTCTGAATAAGTTTTGTCTTCCAGTTCAGTACCCTAAAGGCAAATAACACGCTCGGCAGCGATTTGCTGCAGTTCCCGTTATCAGTCGGCTTCGCGGCTTAGTAACCACACATCGAAGAATAGTTTTTAAATATACTGAATTAATCTTCCAATTACGCATGTTTTTTTTTTACGAACTTCTTTAGAACTGACGTAGTGTGTTCTTCACTCTGTGAACCAAGATTATCTCCAAGATTCATCTTTCTTAATTGTGCAGTTACGCCCAATTGTGAGAAACTTCATCATAACCGACAATGTATGTCTCCACTCTGAAAATAGATTTCCTTTTTACAACAAAATTTTCTACAATTTATATTATTGTATTGCTGATGATCATCATTCGTCTACAGGAAGATTTAGCAAATCTGTAACTTCATGCAGAGGTATTCATGTTCTCGACAGGGTTATGTCCACCCCACAGGTTATTTTAGGGGCACATCACACGGCATAAAACCAACCGCATGGGGGAGAACATAAACGCACGTTTTGCTCTTTCACATGTACACATGCACAACTAGAAATAGTTTTCCTGGCCTCACCGCGGGATGGAACATAGGTGGAATAGTAACACTGTTCTTATATAATTTTATTTTGTGTTCAATTTTGCTTTATCTCGTTAACATTGCGTGATACATCGAAACTTATTGGCTCATTTCTAGGATCGCTGACAATAGTAATTCACTTACCAAATTGGGAAGACAGGGTATAATCGGTTTGACACTTGTCATAACCTGCTTTGGGGTTATGGCTTTTACGACTTACAGTTAAATTTTGGCCATTTAACGGCTAACGATTAATTTCCTTCTTTTGTGATTAAAGGAAACATTTTTATAATTAACGACTAACGGTTAAAATTTGTCATTTTTTACGCCCAATGTCTAAAATGTTTGGCTGTTCTACGGCTAACGGTCGACCCGATTGAGACTGTTTTTTAATCATCCTATCAGGCAAACGGCACGACATCATTGCGTGGGTCGAAAACCTTATTAATGACCTGATTAACATCTTTAAATCAATAACTACCCAGGTATTATTTGTGGCGTTTTTTAGGAGTTCGACTTTCTCACGTTTTTCAAAAATATTATTCTTATCTATGTTTTTTAAAGTGGCTGATACAAGAATGGTCACTTAAATATATATATATAACTAACCAGCAAAGATAGAATAGCAAAAATTACCTGCTGATAGTAGCTGATGTAATTTTACACAGGTGAACTGGAAGCAAGATACGAGAGTTACAGTTCACCTCAAAAGTTGTTTGTTTTGTAGCTATAGTTGTAACACTTCCAACTACTCAATAATTAATAGCACGGCTCCATTTTTCACAGTTGATCCGCCTGAGCCCGGGGGCTAACATGCTCTAAAAGCGAATGTCCTTTAAAAGGTAGGGAAAATCTTTGTAAGCTACTTCTTTAAATGTTTTTGTTAACATGTCGGGCTCCATTGAACAAGCTGCTAAACTCCATAGTCGTCGAATCAATTTTGCACATGTATTTTTAAGAGATCGTAAACTACAGTTTACAATCTCTTAGTATTTTTTTATTAGAATTACCACGAACTAACGTAGGGGATGTGAAAAGTGAGCGCGCTAGAATACAGGGATAGTTACACTCCTTCTTAAAAACCATCGAGAGTTTCTCAAGGTCGCCTTGATGAGTTTGTTAGCTTTGTCAGAGCTGAAATGCAGAGTCACTGTATGGGGTGCTGCAAATCTCTTAAAAAATCTTTTGAATGAATCATGCACCGTCACTCCCACTTACCACCTGTTTTTTTATTTTCTTTTTCTTTTTACGGAAAAAATTGAGAGAAAAGGTTATCCTCCTGAAAAGTACTCAGCCGGAAGTATTGCTTAAAGCTTGTTAAAAACAGATAAGCTCCAGAGAAATGAAAATGTAATTTGTCTTTTTATAACTTTTTCTACTTCGTGCGATATTTTAGCATTTTCAAGCGGACTGTTGCTATCATAACATAACCAATTGTCCAATAACGCGGAGTATTTGTACTCGACTCGCGCGTTATTTTCACTCTGGTTAGTAACACTGTTCTTATATAATTTTTTATTTTGTGTTCAATTTTGCGTATTAATTTGTTAAAAATTTTTTATGGAGTACACATTTGAAAATGTTTTCGTCGATCGTAAGGGCTTCAGCTTAATTATCTCGTTAACATTGCGTGATAAATTGAAACTTGTTGGCTTATTTCCAGGGTCAATTACAATAGTAATTCATTTATCAAATTGGAAAGTAAGGGTATAATTGGTTTGACACGATATTTTAGCATTTTCATGTGGACTGTTGCTATCTTAACATAACCAATTGTCCAATATCGTGGACTGTTTGTACTCGACTCGCGCGCTATTTACACTCTAGTTAGTGCACTTGGGTAATAAATATATCTTATGAGACGTTTTGGTTTGTAGTATCGCTGAGTATTTTTACGAGTTGTGCCGTATTTTGACGAGCCTGTAGGCGAGTCAAAATAAAAACGAGTAAAAATACTCAGCGATACTACAAACCAAAACGTCTAATAGCTCATTTATTATCCAACTGCTATTTTCTTCTGTTGAGTCCTGTTCTCCTGTTCATTTCTCATAATGCGGGAAAAGCAAAGCGGATAGAGAAACGTAGCGCGCGCAGCCGACTGGTCAAACAGGTATTTTAACAGCACAAAATAACCAGCTGTCCAAATAACCGTACAATATCGCAGGATATTTGTACTCTATTCGTGTTTTATTTGTACTCTACTGTGTGCAGTTGGATAATAACAACTTTTATTTTACTTTTTGTTTGACTTTTTTTTTAACTGTGTCGTTTTTTTCAGTTAAATAACAAAATGAGTTGGACTGTGACCTGGTTCTTCGTCGTTGGTTTCTTAATCGACGTTGCATTTGTTGATGCACAGTGCAAACAAGAGAGAAACATAGCTGGAATGGCCCTGCGGGGATTTGTTTTCAAAAAGTTTTCTGTATCAGCCATCCACGAGTGTGACATCAGCTGCGAAAGAGAAATCAGATGTCAGAGTTATAACTACGTAGTTGGAGAAAAGTCCTGTGAACTGAACAACCGGACCAAAGAGGCAAAACCTGAAAATTTTCAACCAGACCTCGCTCGGTTTTACCACATACGTTTTTTTGACAGGGGTACGTATCAAATGTAAAGTCAAATTGGAGTTCATTTTATATAATGAATAATCTGATATAATTAATGCCTGTGCTGTATGACTATTTTGGGTTTTCTCTCACAGCTCCTTTAGGATCCGTACCAGAGATGCCCGCAGAGTCGTGTCGGGAAATAAAGATGAGTGAAGGCAAAGCAGCCATAAGCAGCAAATATTGGTTGGATCCAAATAGGAGTGGAAAGGCCGCTTTACTTTACTGTGACATGGAAATGGAAGGTGTCTGCTCAAAACTGGTTTGATGTATTAAGATTGTCTGTTCGTGCTTACTAATGATTGCATTCCATTTAAGAGTTCCATTGATTGAGACACTTTCAATTACTACTTTCTGTTCAGATATCGATGAATGTGTCTCCGGCACTCATGAATGCGACGTAAATGCCCAATGTATCAACACCGTTGGCTCTTATAACTGCACGTGTAAAAATGGATATTCTGGTGATGGAAGATCGTGTTCAGGTATAAAAGTAACCTAATTACATGTACAATTATAATCATATAAGTTGTTCTGAAGAGTGGCTCTTTCTGGGAATTTCCACAAAACTTAGTCATTTAATGCGGATACTAGAGCTGTATAAGGAAGCGCTTGGTTCAGTTCTCCGGAACAATCTATTTGGTAATGCAATTATGATTTCCGTTATACCGTGACAAGGTGTAAGTTTCCATTATATCGAACATAGCGTGAGCCGCTTGCTTAACTTCTTCAATCTTGAAGATCTTAATGTGTTTAACTCAGGTCTACATAAATTAAGACGTGTATTTGTACATAGCCCGCCCTATTTTATCTCAGCAAAGTTTAGCAATACCTAGGGCTCCTGGTGACAAGGTCCGGGTGAAAGCTGCATCCCTTGTCATGGGTGTTTTTATTTGTTTCCTTGGGAAACTCATTTCATTTACTTTACAACACAGAGTAAAGTGTTAATGGATACCAGAGAGCTGTAGGGAAAAAATTAACCCTTTTACTCCCAAGATCTCATAAATAATTCTCCTTACTGTCTGCCATACAATTCTTGCGATGTTAGTTGGAAGAATTTGGGTTTGGATCGACTAATAATCCCCTAATTTATAGTTTTCTTTATTCTCCTCACTTGTCTGCTTGATAATGTATCGATATTGTAAGGAGAAATTCTGTCTTGGTCACTCATGCGAGTTAACGGGTTAAAGGTAGTCCAGAGCTACCTTACCCTGGACCTTTTAGCCATCTAGGCGGAGTAAATTTGCCTTCTTTTAAATTTAGTCATCTAGCCATGCATGTATGTATAACTTTCGTTTTCTTCTTTTCCTTTCAAGCCTATATCGATTCTGTTATCCTAACGGCAAGTAGCTCCTTCGTACATGATTTGCAGCAGTTCCTTGAGCCCGTTATTAGTGATAATAAGACTAGCAACTGGACAAGATGTTACCATGCGCTGTCACATGGATGGAATACAACTCAATTTCACAGCAGATGCGACAACAAAGGGCCAACTGTCACCATCGCACAAGTCGGAGAATATGTTTTTGGAGCATACATCAGTGTATCGTGGACGAGTAAGTAAAACGTTACTTACGTCAATGATAGGCAGCTTAATCTTAATATAATCTTTTTTAACTCCTAGATTTGAGATGATAAGATTACCAAGCACTCCTAAACCGAAACGATTTAAGGAAACAGATTTATAATTTTTCATTGATCCATTGGAAACTTTTAGAAACTTAGAAATTGTATTTTTACCAAGCGTTATCCAGTTTTATTTTTCCTTTTTTCTTTTATTTTTTTGCTGGATAATGATGGTATCATTTAGGCTTTCACAGGAATGCTGAAATTTTCTCAAATAGTGCGATATTTAGCAAAATTTGGGAACTTGGCGGCTACAGTTGTGTCAAGAGAGTATAGGATATTCCTCTGGTAATGGTCTGATTTAAGCTCCTTAAAGAATTCACTGTTTTATTGCATCACTGTAGGTTATCCATGTATTCGCCGAGAAGATAGAAAGGCGTTTCTCTTTTCACTCTACAACATCAATGGGCATCATCCAGTCAATTTCACTGTGAAATACAACAATGCTATATACAGTTGTCACCAACAATTGCCAATCTTTGGATATGCGGCCGATTTGTTTTTTAAACCTTTACCTCTGACCTCATTTGCAAAACCTGACACCTATCAAATTCCTCCTGGCTGTGTTGAAGAACAGAAATGCAATTTCTATACTGGCACCATTGATTTCCACTTAACAGATATGGAAGTATTTAGTAGAACAAAGGAAGGCTAATATATCAAACCGATAAACCACGGTAAGGTTTCATGGCGACCACAATTTCAATTTTTAAGATCGCTGTGTCTATCACTTAGAAAAGTCTTAGTCTAGTGTGTTCCTTAGTGATGTCTGATTTCACGTTGAATTCTTAGGGCTGAAATAATCAGCAATGTATAGCAAGTAATGCCAATACTTGATATTTAGGTCAAGGAAGTGAAATGGTTGAAGAAGGAGTATATTGCAGGATAGAAAACTGAATAAAAAAATTTGTCCAGGAGGCTTTACCTCTGAACACCCCTTGATACCACTTATTTGCACAGTCTCAAAATTTTGTAAAAGAATTGTCTTCTGGTTTTGGAGTTATAAGATAAGAGCTCTGCTTAAGTTTCATACGCCAAAGTAACTGTTGTATAAGTAGACTTTCCGGATACTCTGTGCAAAGAACTGTAAACGTGCTTAGTGAAAATTCCGCACATTTCGCGCTTGAAAATTAACTCCAAAATTTAAAGTAAATAGCTTGGAGTCGTTTGCTTTTATTAATTCATATTGCTTACTCGTATTGCTCACTTCTATGCTCAACACGTAGTTTAAATTAGGTTATTAAAACCTCAAGTTTCGTAGGTAAACGTTGTCTCTATTCTATAACAACAACGACAAAAACTAAAAGAACAAATTTCGAAAGAAAGCAAATCACTGACATTAACGAGGTCTTATTTAAATATTTTGAACGCAGAAATGAGTCAGCCGCAATAAGACGGAGTGCATCTAAAGGAATAGAAATGCTGCTTTCAGTATTAGCTGAGAAAGAAGTTAAATGTAAGATTTATACGAAAAAAAACTATGGAAAATAGATCAAACGTGGTGTTTACAAATGTCTCAGCCTTTTATATTATAGTCTTAAAATTAACTTGTAATTCAGATTTATCACGGTCTGCTTCGATCAAAACACTCTCAACTTGTCCTATATTTAAACGCGAAATCTTAAACACAACTTCCGTGAAAATGCAAGAATTCTGGAAGCTAGCATAATGCTATAAATAAATGCTAGCGCTTAAAAAAACGTAGGACTTTCTTTCTCTCCGGAAAAGTCAGTTCCATTGTTTTGTGATTGAAAGCAACCTTCAAGTCGTATAATCTGTGGACTGAAGTCTCATTCAATATCCTTTACGCTCCATGAATAGTCAATATAATTAATTTTCAATATTTACAGGGTCTATTGTTCTGATTCAATGTCCACCATCTTGCCCTCTTCACATATGCATGTCTTCGTTGCTTTTATATTAAATTTAGTTTTTTTCGTTCCTTTTCCATCCACTTGGATTCTTAAAAAACAGATTAGAAAACAACAGGGTTAGTACACGTAAACGTGGCTGTCTGTTGCAAATTCTTGGTAACAGTTTGTTCTAGTACTCATTATTTCATCGCGGTTTTTTCGCTCGCAGGCCCTTTCGCTTGCCCCCGCTGACCAACCTCTAGCATAGACTAGGCTACACACCACAAAATGGACCACTTACATGTGAAATTTCCATTCATTTCTCCACTACGTCTGTAATTTTGATTGTTTTTCTTGATTCTCAAATCAGTCATTCTAACGCCATGGCTTGGTAACCTCTCCGTCGTAAGACTACAGCTGACTGGTTTGCTCTGTGAAAAAATGGAGTTCAGATTATCAGAACGGTATCAGCCTGAAAATGACTGTTATTTGATGATGAACTGGGTTAGAAACACTTTAAAACAGTTTCTAGCGTCTTTTATCCTCTTTAGCAGCAACATCTCACCCACAAATAAGTCTGTTAGTGAAAACTCTTCCTCGTCACACTATTAAAGTCATCTAAACAGACGTCAATAACTACCTGCATGGTTTTATTTTTTCACGATATTCAAACAAAAAAAAAAATTCACCGCATGGAACGACTTTGCTATATCGATGAATCGAAGCTGACCTATCACAACTGCTGTATGCTACAACCCTTTACAGCAACTAATAGACCGACAACATTCCTCCACAGAACTCCCTGCTCTCACATGGGCAATTAAACATTAACTAGATTATCAAATGTTGTTTTTGGGTTCAAACCAATTACTTTCGGTGGGTCTAAGTTATAAATTTCATTCTCAACCTTTTACTAAGGAAAATAAAACATTCTGCACATAAATTATCATGATTTTACCATAACATCAAATGGAGTTTTCAGTTGATTCGATGGGCTGAATCTACTTCCTTGAAGCAAACTGCAATATCTGAATGAATTGAATAATAATATATACCTTTTGCGTCGCATCAACACCTGAAGCGTGGGCCGCTCGTTGACGTTTTCCTTTCCATATCATCATCGCTGACCTCACCTAAAAATGCGAAAAAAGTTTTTTTTTCCATGATTTGTTTAGAGAGTTAGATGACGTTGATAAAATTAAGAAAATGTTTCAAAGAAACGAAACCATGGTTATACATCCTATGAAATTTAGAAAAAATATCACTACGTCTCCATTTGCAATCTGCGTTATACTTCTCCATAATTAACCATCTTTGCCTCCATTTTCTTCATTCGTGCCTCTCTGGCATTTGTCGAACCAAGCAAACTATATCATTAACCCTTCAACTCCCGGAAGTGATGACATGTGACTTCTCCTTGTAATATTTAAACAATATCCAGCAAACAGGTCATGAGAATATTTAAAGTTATCAGGTAGAAGTTGTTATCTCGATCTAACACCAAATTCTTGGAAGTTATTTACAAGGAAATGTGTAGCAGCTAGAGGGGAGAATTAACAATCAGATCTTGAGAGTTAAAGGATTGACCCTTAACACCTTACTATCAGTATGTATATTCTCCATTCTACTACATATACATTTCCTGCATTGCCGACACGAAAATTTGTTTATCACTCAAGAGCGCTTTCAACGAGCGATCACACCCTGTATTCTCGTGACTTTTATCAGTTTTATTCATTGGTTAAAACTTTATGGTGGTTACTTTTGAGGGTTGAAGGGTTGAATGTTGGCTTTCGTTGCGATTGGCAAGATTTTCAGGGATCACGGCGTTGCGAATAATCGTGTAGCTTGGAGTTCGATGCGTTTTTGTAAAGCGATCACTCAGTATTTCTGCTAAATTGAATTTTGAAATCAGAGGAAAGTTCGTGAGACTTATTATTTTTGGAGATACTTTAACCCTAAGTCTAACATAGCCGGCTGAAGTTGAACGACCGCGAGATTTAATGAGAAAGATGGTAAATGTTGAGCTCGGTAATGAAATAGAGTGAGATGTTTGTTCATCTTGTCACGAGCGTGGGACAGAGAAAGTGGTACTCGGGATTTTTTCTTTGTCCCACGCTCCTATTGAGCATTATTGAAGCGACGTGTTCCCGTCAAAAGTAAGCCGCTTCACCCACTGATATTATTTGTTTGCTACACCAAGTTATTAGAACAAAAACATTTACTGAACATAGATTGGAAAACGAGGTTAGGTTAATGTACCACAAAACATCACAAACCTGTTGATCGAATAAACAATGGAAAATAAATATGAAGAACCCCTGCAAAAAAAAGCGAGCAAACTGAATTGAGCATCTTTTAATTTCAACTATTGGGAAGTTTGCATCCTTATATAACTTTGGATGAAGGTTGATATACCAATCACAGTTGTTGGAAACCAATCAATCATAGCAGAGAAACACGCTCCATAAAGTGACGACGCTAGCCAGTCAACCCCATGACTTAAAGAAACTGTTAACGGCATGCAGATGAAAAGTTGCGATCTGCTTCAAGAGTTATTGACAATGCGTCGCAAGAAGAAAAAAACACTTTTTTAATCAAGGTCTGCCTCACCACACTGAATACGACAGAAACCTAAGTTGAATTTTAGAGACATCTATTCAAAAAGAAAATACCTGAAGCGAGTTGAAGATTGCAAACAGATATAGGAAGACCACTGTAGCTTGATCGAACGCAAGGACACCAAACACCCATGTGATGCCGAGAAGAGGAAGAAGGACGACGGAACATTTTATGCCAAGTCTATCAAGGAACATAAGAGACAACTGTCATCAGCTCTCCATAGCTCATGTAGTTCCCTCTCAAGGAGGTTGCTTCCTTTCTTTAACTTAAACACTCTAGTAACGCAAATTTTCCAGTTTCAACTCAAACATCCCTTGCGAGGAGTAATGTCAATACATACCCTGGATAAACTACGTTTGAAAACAAGAATTTGACGAAACTCCAAAGCAAATACTTGTACCGTTTCCACAAGGGTTTATTGGAGTTACCGACTGCTCTGTCAATTTTCTTACACAAGTCTTACACAACTTACGCAAGTCTTACACAACTTAAAAGTTGTACCATATGCTATCCTTTTCTAAAAGAAGTAACTTTATTCATCCACTTCTACTTAGTTTTTCCGACGTAATTCGCCTGGAAGCATTTCACTTTCCTTGAATTTCATGTTTATCAAGATCTTTAGTTTAAAACCTTTATCTAATACCTTGGGTTAAATAAGGAAAACGATCCATGTTTGAGTCTTACTTGATCTTCTCCTTGTCTTGAGCCCCAATCATTTTGTGACTTGTCATCATGGCCCGTAGAACCAATACAAATATGATGCAGTTTACCTACCAGGAATTAATTTAATAACAAATATCATTCACTCCATTCGGTGGATGACGAGAAGAAATCTCAATAAAAGTTTTCTAAACAGTGTTTTCGGGTGTCCTCTATTGATCAGAAAAGTGTAGACGCCAACGTATTAAGATGTTCCCTTTTTTATCATTGGATTGTTTGTCGTTATCTCAATTTAAAGCCCAAGGTTTGGATTAGAATATAAAGACTTATTTGGTTTTTCTATAATTTTTTTTGATAAAGGAAGGACTTCTTAACCTACCGACACAACAGCAAGAGCAGGAGCGATAAACGTCCAAATTAAACCAGAAGTGATGGATAACCAGCATCTGCAAATCAATGATGAAGTTATGGGATGTTTAGACTTGATTTGAAACAACTCCAAACATATTAAAAATGTATTAAATCAATATTGACGATGTAGTAAAATGTATTAAAATCAATACTGACAAATAGTTCATTTGCAAAAACGAGTGTAACCATGAATTTAAAGACGTCTTTGAATTGTATATCCTACCAGAGGGATAGAGCAGCGAAGACGATAGAACACGTGGTCAATATACATTGTTCTACTTTAGAACAATGGCAGATAATTTTTATAGAAAGCTCTATGTCTAGAGCAACTCAAGGCAACCAAACTAAAGTTGCAGAGAGTGCATTCGAGGGTAGTTAACAATATATCTTTGGAAAAAATTGAAATAAGGAACCATTTTAAATCTTCTTCCCATAGACATACGTTTCATCTACTCCATATCCTTCTGTTCTAGTGATTGCTAGACATATAGCTACATACAACAACGGAAAACCTGCAAGGTGAAAGGAGCAAAATGGAAGGTGAGTTCCAGGGCTATAACAACGTCAGACTACAGACGTGTAGGAGGCCTGTGGAGAAATTTCTTATGTGTGCAGTGTTACATACGTAAATTAGGTTATGCATGCACGTTTCTTCTAGTTATCCTTCAGATAATCCATCCTGTTTCTTGATCATTCTCATCAAATTTAGTCGAAAAGAGACACCACGAAGAGAAAGCCTCGTAGAACGATTTCTAATCTCCTAAATACTACCTTGAATAGCGTTAATGCAGAGGTCAAGAAGAAGGAACCATTTTGTAGCGAATCAACAAACTGGTTTTAGAGGTAATGAAACCTTTGACTCTCCGGGAACTCTAGGATAAAGAAATACTAAAATAATAGAAGTAATGTCCTGTGATATTACTCACCTAAGTTAAAAATATTTTCATCTAACAAAGTGAAACACTTACCCCAGCCAAGAAAGTAGAAATATCTTTGTTTGCTTTCTCCACCAAATACTTTAACAATTGAAGAGTATATCTGTAATCCCTCGACCAACATCCAAAATATAGCGCTCAGATAGAAAAAATGAAGCAGGACGGAGATTACTTTGCAAGTAACCTGTAACAAAAAATGTTTCTAGGAATTAAAACGAAAATGAATTGGAGAATGATACAAGTGCCCGATAGCATAATGAGCGCTTAAAGTCTTAAAATTTGACATGGCTGTAACATTAGAGGATTTCTGATTGCCTTCATGGGATTTTGGATAATTGTACTTTCATATTTTGGTCACTATTAAAGGTACTAGTGGTCATATTTTGGCAAGGAAACTACCTCGTATTCTGTGGATACTGCTCCAATTAGAAGAAGAACATTCGCAGCCAAAAGTGCGATACACAGATTGACATGGATCACTGTCTTGTGAGACTTTAATATTCTAAGTAAAAGATAAAAGTACAGAGTTAAACACTTAGTTTAAACCACACAGGCGACTAGTGCTTTTCAAGAGTACTAATTGGCTATTTCGTAGGTGATCAGGAAGTACTATTCACTTCCAGGCAGCCGAAGATACGGAGTTTAATTTCCGACCATTTTACGGTATAATGACTGAAAGGACTAATTCTTTTGGTTTCCTAGTTACATATTCTAAAACTATTGTTCACTTCGATGTCGTTGAAAGAGAGGGATATTTACCATAATATACTTGATTGAGTATAACCCGTCTTTTTATCTCTATTTGTTAGAGTGGGTTGAGATGACTCAATTGCCTCTATTAAACCTAATTGATTAAGTAAAACGTCAAAATTATACAAACCTCCATAAAACACCGTGAAGAATAAGTGTAACAATAATTCCCAACAGCGAAAGAGAACAACCAACCACAGTAATATATCCTAAAGTTTTCTGGTGTACCGACTGTTTCTAGAGGGAAATCAGATAAAAAGATAAAAATTATTATGTTGCTTTGAATATTGCTTTGTGGCTTATGACAAATGCTGAACAAACTGTTTTCTCTGACGAGGAAAAGAGAATATAGCTGGAATGGTGCATCAACATTACCTATCTGCTAATTAATCTGGAAGCGGCTCTATTTTGACCGAGAATTAACAGCATTACTATTTTTTGCCTTATTTGTTTAAAATTGCAGTCCAGGTCAACTGAGTTTCAAGCAGATCCACAGCCGTAATTTATGATTCCTGGGTTTTAAACGGAAAAGTCATGATAATTTTAGTGCAACAGCTATGATTTATGATTCACGATTCCGCTTCCAACCCCGAAAACAACATCCTTTAGTAATCACTTCTCTGCTTAACTTTATCATGATACAGTGAGATTGAGTGACTTTGGTCACTCTAAGTGGCGAAAGTATTAAAACAATTGTCAACTTACAGAGGATATCCCAGACGGATCCATCAAAACTGCAAAATTTGTCAAGTGGTTACATTCACAGGTAACTGTGTCATTTCTATGAGACGCCAACTCACAACCATCTTTCGACCAGCCTCCACCTCTGGAATTTCTGAATTGACAGACTTTGATTACTGAACAAGGTTGTCTAAGGATTGACTTAATCATTCGCTCTTTCCTCACATATTTCTCAGTTACCAAGCTTAAAAGAACAACTCAGAGTTCTTCCTCTAGAGTCGCCACCTTAGTCTATCTCTGACGTTAAGCATTACAGTTATGAAAGAGACCGGGCTTAGGATCATAGCCATTTATGAGAGTACACTTGATAACGGTAAAAAGAGGTTTCTGTACTACAAATTCATGTAATAGAAATCGCTTAGGGGAAACGTGCTTCTCAGATTTGCTATCTTAACTTTCTTTAATCACTCTCCACGGTTCATGATTGTGTCCTTGCACTTTAAGATTATGCATCAAGATTTCTCTTCAATTTCTGAGATTTATGATTCCTTAGTAGCCGTGATGAAGCTTTTGCGCCTTAAAATTTCTCTATTGTTATTTATAACTTACATGTTATAATCCCAATAAACGCAAATCGCAGTGCTTTGGTTCTCCTAAGAAGAAGTAATTAAACAAACTGAGGTGAGATTTTATCGCCATGCATTTTCTCCTCATAGCAGATGAAGTCAAAGTGATGAACCATGGCTGTTTTAATACGGGAAATTCCCACTTTCTTAACGCGAAAGGGATGAAATACAACCTGAGACCCCAAAACACCCCATACCTACTTCCTTGCACGATCGCTTATGCAATCGTGGAATGAGCTTCACCGCCTTGCTAAAAAAATTACCTCTGTAAACCCTGCACTAATCTCTATGTCTTGGGTAGGGACAATTAATAATAATAGCGACCCGTATGGCCGATGCACATAGGTCGACAGTTTGTTTTCATAAGCTCTTCATTGACAATTTCAACTATGAATTTGCGGGTATCACATGATGCAATTACCTGAATACCAACGAAATTTATCACAACTGGGTTTTGGAGTTTCACAACAGGTGGCTGCACTGAGCTGGAAATTATACGTGATACCACGCCAGACCGCTGGTCAAATTGTTCATATGCACTAGAATAAAGAATGACAATCTATTTTTTCTCTTTCCTTATCATGATTCAGTGATAATGGAAATGTACAACAAGCATAAGTTTTACAATAATTAAAGCGACAATACGCACCTCTCCTGTGACAGAAACGGAGTCAATGTTCTGAATAAAAAACTGGCTACTTTGGTTCCTGGATTAACAAAAAATACGTAAAGCGACGAATTAAAAAATATATTGATGAAACAACTGGTACTATTTTCTGAACCCAGCACAGTAATTTTCGACCGAATATTGTTAAAGACAAAACCAGGGAAATCACAACAACCAATTGAACCATTGACAAGTATAACAAACACTAAGTGTCTAAAAGTTAGCTTCATTTAAAAGAATGATTCTTGTGCCTCGAAATGCTGGCTGTAAGAAGTGCGCGGAATAGAAGATATTGCCATACAGTGATTAGCTTCATATATATTCATACAGAGTTAGAATTTATTAAAGTCTGTTTGCTTGATTGTTGCTTTCTCACTTACTTGGTTGCATAAAGATATTTGGATGATTTACACTGTACCGTTTGTTGAAGGATGATTTTGTCGATTGAATATTTCTTCTGGTAACTTGATGAACTGCCTTCCACCTTCAGTCCAAGCTGGCGAAGAGAGGATGCCATCCTTATAATCTGAATGATTTGGAAACATCAAAGGTTCTTGCACATTTTCAGGTACAAGTCTTGTTTCCATTGCTAAAAGAAAAAAAGACGAAGACATTGCAATATCGCCAGTACATTTCACACTTTTTTTGGAGAATTTCTCGCTTCTTTGAAAAGCCTTTATTACCTATGTTATCTTTCACCACGCTCAATCTGTCATTTTTTTGTCCAGAAGCTGCCTGAAGTCCGTAATCCTCGATTATTCTGGTCAAATCAGTTGTGGTGTTATCGGTCTATTAGAAAGAGGTAATACAGTTTGAGTGAAATTCAAAAATTAAAATGAAAAGTATAAAGGCCTTCCACAGCGTTGAGGTAAAATTACAATTAGTTAGCGTTGAAAAGGAGGGGGAGGGGGAAGGCGGAAGAATGGTAGCCATTCTGGTAATCAAGGAGGCGGGGAAGTTGAATTCTCCAACAAACTCGTTGACTGAAATTTTCCGCCAATGAAAAAAAAAACGCATTTCGCCAAATTTTTTACAAATTATGCAAACTGAATATACACAAAATACTACGTGTAATCTTACAGAAAAATAGGAGATTTTAGGATAATTGGGACCGGAGAAATGCATTTGTACCTCTTGAAGCTGCTGGAAATCTCTGAGATTGTTCGTGTGAAGAAGATTACTAACGGTTTGAAGAAATCCCTATTGAAAATTACAAAAACAACATGTTCACATGATATGAAAACAAGATATTTGAATCGCTCCCGGTAGACAGGATTACTACGATATGAGTAGTCTATTATATGACTGTAACTATTGGGCTACAAACTTTATCACTGGGCTACTTTTTGAATTACGAGGTCTCAAGGGGTCAATTGGGATTTAGAAATGTTCCTTTGTTGTTTGAATTAGAGTCAAACCTTCAATGAGGAGATGTAATTCCGAAATGCCCTTAGACTAGAAAAGTGGGATTTGAGTCTTGTTCAGGTCTATCTGTTAAAGAACATCAACAGAGTTGCACCATCTAACAATCGAGACTGACTTTGGAAACAAATTAAAGAAGCTTTGTCAAATCGTTCTCTTACTTCAATGTTTGTTGACACTGTCTCACGACTGTTAGCAAACTTTTTGTTGTAAAAGACCACATTCTGCAAAATCTGCGTCGATGTCTTGATATTTCCAGCCATCAAGGAATCGTATTTCTTTGGTTGAGTTAGGGAAGACAGTTCTGTGATAATAGCTGTGATATTTTCGTTGGAGGGATTTGACGAGTTGAACAAGCCATTCATCTAACAAAAGGAGATAAAAGGCATAAGATCTTTGAAAGTGTTTAGAGAGAAGGTAATGGTTTTTTTTAAATAGTTCAGATTACGTATATGTTGTGGTTGCATAGACACTTAAATCGGAGCCCTATTGAACGATACTAAGGGAGGAAATGATCCCTCCGTTGTTTTGTTTTGGAGTTCAATGAAAATTTCGGAAATTCAAAGGGGATGACCAATTATAATGGATGCGGCTAAAATGTAGCAATATTTCTCCTAAAAATGCACAAAGTCTCAGTTAAGTACTGGAAACCATAGAGGGAAATAACCGGGAAAAATCAGATAGGATTAAATCGGATTATATTCAAGAAATATTGGCCCGATTTCATCAGCGTTCATATCGATAGACATTTTTAAGATTGATCGAAAATCCTCCCAGTTCTTTTTTATCTACCATGTGGGTAAGAAAAAAATGGTCATCCTATGAGTAATGATAAAATGTGTTTACAAATGCAGCTGGGATTGATTAAAAAAAATTACTTAAAAAAAAAATCGACACTCAGTCACGGGTTGTTGCCGTGAGTTTTCTGACAGAAGGCTGCTAAGCTTCTACGTTGAAAAGTGGAGTTCATTGATGATAGGCAGAAACGATATTAACCAACATGCCACAGTTCAGCCACTTAGACAATGTTAAAAAGTCAAGACCTTTTCTTGTAGTTGATTGAATTCTTGACTGATACACTCTCCGTAGTCAGGGTACCCCCACACACCGTCGTTTAAGCATTTCCTTTTGGCCACACCTAAAGTAGGACGGAAGAGACATTTATCGTCGACATAAGAAACCTTGAAGCATCGAATTAAACTGACAGTATGTCTTTTAAAGTGAAACCTTCACTCAAGAGACGCCCTCAGGCCAAGCATAGGGAAACTTTTCCATGGATAGAAGTGTCTGTTTGAAAAGGGAAGTTCTACTTTTTAACTCGTGGATATGCGAAGCATAGGAACGAGTAATCCATGTCGATATAACTTGACTTATATTCTGCACTGTATATCCACGAGTTCACCATAGTGTCACTATTTTTAAATCATCAAATAACATGTCTGTTAATGTCGTGTGGGATTCTCTTCTGAACCGAATTCAGGGTAACCCGCTTTTTTTGGGTAATAGAACGCTCTGGTTAAACTAGGTGTCTTTGTAATACTCCCTTGACGCTTTCTGAATGATTCCACTGATTTTGCCGCTATTTGACTCACCCGCTGCTCCTCTGGGACAGTTCTGCGTGGCAAACTCTCCCTCAAAAGTTCCACTCCAAGATACGTTAAAAAATTCTTTTGGACACGCTGAGGAAAAACGTGTAAGTACAATGCTCTCAAAACCACCTTTATAAAGTGTCTGACCCTGGAAGCTGAAGTAAGACGAGGGGATCCTGCAGCTAGAATTCCTATTGGCTACCCAGCAAGGGCCTAATTGGACCTTTTCTGTCACAGTACTGCCCCTACAAAAGCCACTGTTTGGCAATATAATAGATCCTAAATTAACCAAGTATGAAGTAAAGATCGGTGCATATTAGACTCGTTCTCGTTCGGCGCTGTTAAGAAACTCAAAGGTGGCCATTATCCAACTATCTTTACTTCAAGCTTGTTTAATAAAACATATCCTAAAAATGCCTAAGAAATCTCTTGGCTACGTATGTTCTTTGAAACCGAATTCTACATCGTTAAAATGGAGAAGGCGGTGTTAACTTTGGAAAACAACAGCAACAACAGAGAACGTTGCAAAGTTTCACTTTCCCAAATAAAAATCATTAGATTTCTGTCTAATTTCTCAATCCTCGAGAAAATAGATATACCTTACCTTTAACGACGTCAAACGAGTCAACTGTAACATTTTGTAATTTATTTGAGCCCATAACTTCAAGGAGTTTGTTTTGAACAACTGACGAACCTCCTTTCGCGGCAGTTAGGAGCACATCTGCTACGACACTTCCGTTTCTACAATGATGGACCAAATTATATAAGATTTAAAAATCTTAATCATACAGCATGCTGTAACCGAGTTTCAAAGACTAAGATCAAAATTTGTGCTGAAATTACCTGAATCTTACAACTTCTACATCTCTGAAACCATGTACTTCTGTGTATAAAGACATAAGAATATTCTCCAGCCAGGCTGACAGTGTCTTGAATTTTTCAGACAAAGGATCCTTGAGGTCAGACGTGAAAGTCTCATCCGTTAATCTTAAGACAGCTTTGAGAAATGACGGGTCGTCATCTGTCGAAAAAAAAATATTGAAAACCATGTTCGCTTTGATTTATGACGATCATCGCTCAAAAATCACACGGTGATCTGATTTCTCCATACCACGATTCCTTTCTCATGAGGACTTTTCAAAGAGTTTCCATAGAAACTGATACTAAAATGGTGAACTCTAAACATATACCTCATTCACACACGGCTTTTGAACTTTTATTAAATGATTTACCTTTTAAATTCACTCTTATTCTCCAAAAGGTGTTACCCATTCTGTTGGAGATATGACATTCCACGTCAGACGGCATTGTCACAACATACGTGACAGTTGTTTTGTAAGGTTCCATGATTGTGTGACCCTTGTTCACAGCGTACGAATTTACACCGTTAATAAGAAACGTGACTGTGGGTCTCGGAAAACCAGATGCTTTGCATTGCACCGTCACGCTAGTTTCATACTGTGCTGAGATGATCTCTTCGCGTGGGAAAGACTTCATGAGCGGCGGTGTTTCTTTAAAGAAGCAGCACGACATCAAAATAAACAAAAGTCAGGTGCAGTTTACAATTAGTAAGTTATAGTTTACTTTTTAAAGATAAGTTGGAGCAGATCTAGCAGGTATGACTTTTCAACAGTGGGGTCCTGTACCGTAGGAATTTAGCTGCTAAAGCACTATGGCTTGGTATTGGTATTACTTTTTCATACCAAAGGGTTCACATGCACAGTTAAATTTTATGAAGTCAGGAGAATATGGAGCAACGCAATGGCAAATAAATGTTGCTAATGTGCGCTTAATCTTATACTAAGCTCGAGAACTTTACCGTCGATCAAAAGACTTACTGGAAGAAGAAGAAGAAGAAGAAGAAGAAGAAGAAGAAAAAAAGTGGCATTTACAGTAGTATCCCGTGTCATGTTATCTGTAAGGTTTTGTGTAAAATTTATACACTTTTACTTGGTTTGGGCTCTCTTTTGATTAACCGAAAGTTTTAAATACTTTGTAGCAATGTTATCAAAACTCACCAAAATCAGTCTTGCAATCACCACTCGCTCCCGTGATGTTACATGCTCTCTCTGCAACGCAAGAAATATCTTTCAAGCGGATTCTTTGGGATTGGGAGCGGGCTTTCTGAAATCGTTTTTTTCTGCAGCCATTTGTTATCAAAATGTATTGCGATCTAGCAATAGTAAAATCAAAATATGTTTTCAATGGACACTTCGCTTTATATCTTCAGACCGACCATTCATTTCATGTATCTAGTCGTGATATTTGAAAGAGACGAGTTACCATTATATTTATAGCATTTCTAGATATTTCTTATGACTGTATCAACACACTTCAGTTACACAGACCTTTCTCACACACATATGAACTGTGTCTCGTTGTACACTGGCCAGTTTGCCACCGCCCTTGACTATCATTACGAATCATTTCCGCACAAACGTCAGGATCTGGAGAGGGCTCACCCGCTGACCAGAAAGTAAAATTGCCAAGTGGCGATCCGTCTGCCCAAGTGAATTTTCCTGAGGGTCCTTGCGCCCGCAAACCGATCCAGATTTGAAAAGGTTGATGAACACCAAGGCTAAAGACAAAATCTTGTTCTTTCCTGCTGGTAATTTTCGCGAGATGCGCTCCGTCCTTCTGACAAAGATCTTCAGCATCCGTCCATCTACTTTGACGGTTTGAGTACTTATAACAAGATGACTGATATTGTTTCCATCCATTGTTACAAGCTACAATAAACGCGTTTTGAAAAGGTTCAACCTTTTTGATAAAACTTAAGACAAAATGGTAAATCAACAGGGTGCCCGTTGTTTAAAAAAAGTTTCGAGTATGAAAAGTTCCAATCTCCCTTTAACCTACTTTTGTTTCCTTGAGAAATTTACTTGAACGTTTCAATAAAATTTTTGTAAATCTTCCATGAGCCGTCGTTCCTTATTGCATTCCTTTAAATTTTTGGCGGAAATTAGCATGCGGGCAGCCAATATTGATCCACTTACGCTGCCCAACATTTGACGGTTACATTAAATAAAGTACGTTTTGTCGTTACTTACGAACTATGCACCCAATTTCGTCAGAGTTGTCAGTGCAGTCTGCTTTGCCATCGCACACATTTTGCAGTGGAACACAACTATCGGTGGGGCATCTGTACTGTTTTGTGGTGCACCAGCCACCGCGCAAAGTTCGGCAAAACGTTTCGTCGCTTCCGTCTCCACAGTCGTTATACGCGTCACAAACAGCTGATTGAGGAATACATCTCCCATTCCAGCATCGAAAATTATCAGTTTTATTACACTCATCACATCCAAGTTCATCACTTCCATCTTGGCAGTCGTTCACTCTGTTACATAACCATGGATTTGGTATACAGTGTTCATTCCTGCATCTAAATGCTGGAGCTACCGTGCCGCATTGCATAACGCCTTGTATTTCTGAGCAGTAGGTCTCGCGCTGATCATGAATAACACCCTTACAGCATCCCCAGTAAGTCTGATACGGCAACCAGTGATCGATGCCTCCACACGTGTAATTCACACAATTTGCTGATCCCGCTTGGCAACCTGCGTTGAAATATCAACAAAAATGATGCAGTGTGTGATGTCCCACTACGATAATAGAAAAAGTAACAATGTCATCATTCTGCTCGCCTTTACCGTGATTATACTTAATGTTTTTGTATCGCGATAAGCTATTTCTACTTATTGTATGATTAGCAATTACGCCTGCTCACATATGTAGGTTCCAGAGTTCAAAATAGGACCTCTCTTCAAAACTGTACCTTGTCAACAACATTTAATAAAAAAGTTAAATAAAAATACTCTAAAATATTTCGAACATATTAGCTTGATTTTGTCTTTCTTAATTTTAGTGTAAATTGATCAATTTGTAGAAAAGATAAGAGCATTTTCTAAACCTTTGAAAAGTGTTTCGACTTGTGTGCACCGAGAATGTGATTTTTTTGGTAAAAATATCAGAAAAAAAAGATGATTTGGACAGCTCGTGGATTTGTGAGTAGGTATGTATGTTGACTCGCTACGTGTTAGTCATGCCCACAGATCACTGAACGCACCTTGACTCGAATGCATGCAGTTTTTATACTGCCTATAACAACCGTATGGTAAACAACTTACTTGCCACAGCTCTTTTCGTGCGACTTCCTATTTTTGATTCTGTCAGAAGAGATATCATTAAGAGAAACAATGGTTAAAAAAGAAACGAGAATAATAAAAAACTATTCAAATAATGCATACTTGCAAGAACAAGGCAATTATGAACCTAGAACTGAAACAAATAAACCATACAAGACGGCACGGAGTCCCTTCCTTTTCCCTACTAAGGGGAGTGGACAGTGACCTATTACTAGAGTTAAACTTACCCTCCGAGTGAGGAAAATGCAGGTCACTTTCCACTGCAACATTCGATATTTGGCCGCAGTTGGACTTAAGAGTAATAGAAGCTGCCAGTTGCTTTAGAATTGCGTCTTCACAATCTATTGGATTGTCCAACAGGTTCCTTGAAACAAAATCAAAAATATTCATGAAAACAAACAGAGGATACTCTTAGCCTGAACATGTTATAAGTGAGATGGCAATAGATATCCATTGAGATGGCAATGGATATATCCTAATGGAATGGGGGAAAAAAGGAGAGGTGGGTGGTGAAATAACTTTTACCATACGAAGGCAAGCTTTAGATGATCTTGGTCTTCGAGAAGATTAAAAAGAGAAAAACATTTTTCACAAGAGCACTCAGAATCATTCCTTCACGTAACAAACTTTTGGGTACAATTCTTCTTTCACGTGTTTCCCGAGTATCAGTCATGTAAAGAACACATCTTTTAGGTCTCTCATAGCTGCGTAAAGACAGGATAGACAAAAGATAAGAGGAAATCTGTGATTCAACATACACGAGTGATAAAACAATGAAAGGGACATGAATTTTTCGTAGAAATCCAACGGATTTCGACTTTAAAAGAAAAATATTGAACCGGCTTACAAGATACAGTTACCCATATGAAACTTACAGTACACGTAAGTTCCGTGGAAGATGAATAACTTGTTGAGATGACAAAGTGGATATCGCGTTACTTGAGAGATCTCTATAACGTAAGAATATATATCAGATTAAAATCTAGCTAATAAGTTCTGAAAAAATGGTGTGTTTTTTTCCCTGCTGTAACCCGAAAAAATCTTCTTAGTTGTCACGCTGACACTGGTGAGTCATTGTGTGACAGACTATGTAACGTCTGCGACGAACACGAAGCTTTACACAGCTAAGAACACATTTTCAGAAATGTTCAGAGTTTGGCAGTTTGTATAAAAGTATAATGAATATCGGATTTTAGAGAGCGGCTTAAGTCGGGGCTCATCAATACAAAGAAATTGAAACAGAAAAAAAAAAAGAGAGAATATCGGCGCTTATTACTCAATTGCACAAAGCAGAGCACAAATAACGCGCGAATAGAGTACAAATATCCTGCGATATTGTATGGTTATTTGGACAGCTGGTTATTTTGTACTGTAAAAAACCAGTTGAACCAGTCGGCAGCGCGCGCTACGCTTCTCTATCCGCTTTGCTTTTCCCACCTTATGAGAAAGAGAGACTTAGCAGAAAAAATAGCAGTTTGATAATAAATAACTCAACTAAATAACTCGTTCTTGTATTTTGACTCGCGCTACGGGATCGTCAAAATACGGCACAACTCGTAATAATGCTGACTCAGGGATACTACACAACAAAACGTCTATATAAGAGTTAATTCCGGTTGCCGCAATTTCCGGTCGGAATAACTTGGTTTAGCTAGCTCTGCTAGAGCAGAGTACTACTCAGGGATCCAGTAATTTTTTTCCCTTGGCCTTTTTTTGGACTGACATATCAGTCAATTTGCATGTAAACAAAAATGTTCTGTGGGCTAAGTTGATTACATATTGAAAGATACGAGAGCCCAAAAATTCAGAGATTAGCTCTTTTTGATGATACAAACTTCTTCGTCAGAGAGCAAACAGTTTAAATGAGTGAAAAGTTTCCCAGCTATGAATAAATCCAAATTATTTTTCACCCCGTTAAAATGTAAGAATTTTAAGCAATTTATTCGAGATAAGAATCAAGCTGATTAAACGTTCATTTTCAAAACATAAACAAAACACGTAGCAAAGGTCATTATTGTCTTCAAATTACCTAAATTTTCTTCGGTGAATGTAACGTAACTGGATCTGTAGAATTACCTATGTTGAAATTTTCATTTTCACCTTATTCCAGGAAGCCTTAAGCAAACCAGCCCTAGAGCTATCATCAGCTGTATGATCGAACTATAAATCGAAAGCCTCGCAAACGTGTAAAACCTGGCACCCTAAAGCGAAATATATTTGGTAAGAAAACAAACTCACAGATACTTAGTATTCTGAGGTAGTCGAACGGGGAGATTCTTCAGATTTCGTCCACTGCAGTCGGCCACGAGACCTGGAAAACTTTGCTGTTGGTTTCCTGAGCACGCACAGACTTCGCCGCAGGGAAAATTGGTCGCTTTTTCACCATACACACTCCAGATCAACAGCATTGACAAAAACCTCAGTGTTCTCATGGTAAGCAGCATCAAAAGATTGTGCAACAGCGTGTCTACAATGTCAAAACAAATCAGTTAATATTAACCGCCTGGGTTGAATCGTTATTGATGAAAAGATGCCTACCGAGAAATATTTGTCGAAAGTGTGCAGTCGCCAGGTAGCAAATCCATCAATCAGTTCGCTTTTAAAAATAAAATAAGTGCTTACGGAAGGGCTGCCTTCTGTGTATAATCTTTTGTTTAACTATAACCATAAATCCATTGAATGGCATTTTCTTTTCAAATGGTAATTTAAAGTTAACTTGTCCTTCTATTTTGAGTAATTGTGCGAGGTCATCGTCTCTCTCAATGTTAATCAAACACTATTGACAATTTGAATAAATGCGTTTTTTTAAGTGTAAACGAGATTCGTTTGAACTCGTTTATAAGTTTGAAATAGATTTTAAAGAAAAATTAAAATTATTATTGTTATTCTATACTCGACTTTTAACCTTCATTTTCACCTTTAAACGACTGTAGAAGATACCAATTCTCTTTCCAATGGAAATAACTTTTTATTGAAAATTATTTCCTTCTAACAAGAGCGACGATCAACAAGAAAATGTTATCTTCATTTCTGGTGACGGTGTTTTTATGATGCTGATCTGGTTTTCATCATGAACAAAGATCAATCTTTAAGTCGAACAAGCGAATCTCGCTTGGTCAGTGACACTGACGGTGAATAAACCTTTGCCGAATATATCAAACCTGAATTAGTGACCTATACCCTTTAAAGAACTTTGCGTGTTTTTTCTCATTTAAAGCCCAATTCAATGCTAATAATCTATTTAATCATCCATCAATTAAGATATCACAAATAAACATGATAAACAGGAAAACATAGATCTATCTGACATGCCCAAACGCAATACTATATCCGGACGTACCGCCCCTAGTTTGAAGAGGACAGTAGGTCTCACACACGAAACATATTATCATAGGCGAAGCATACAACCTTCGATAGACTCCTTGATAATTCTGGCACACAGTGCGCAAGTTTTTATTTCACTCCAATTTTTGAAGGAGTTACGTAACTCTTAAAATGTTTACTGCCAGTTTCCTCGTCATGATTTAACTACCCAAGTTCATCTTTCCTAGGCTTAATCATCCTTTCCCCCTGGTTTATTTTTGTCTCTTCACAGTTGTTTGACTTTACTGGTAGACTTATACTTTACACTGAGTTCTACTCTATTCGATTCAGAGACAATTTTTCACGACGTAAAAACCAGACGTTTCCGCCATCTGCTTACGATAAAAGCCCTGGTGAAAAAAAGAAGCAAACAAACAAACAAAAAAACACTCACAGACAGCAACCAGACTACCATGGACGGTTCCCAAAAGTGTACGGTTATATCACTCAAACATTACTTCTGTCAGAGACGTCTGTCAGAAGCATCTTTCGTAAAAGCCGCTCCGATGCTTATTAGCTTTGCGATACCGACATTTAGCGTCATTAAATATATTTGACGCTAAACAACAAGGTATGAAACCCCAGCGGCGTATTGTAGAGCCAGACAATAAAAATGCAATAATGACTCCTAGTGACCAATATCAGGCCTGAGTAACTGACAGAAACCTCTCTTTACATAAGTTACTACGGATACCGGATCACCCCTCCCAATAATTTGAGACGCTCTTTGCACCTTGTAAAAGTATCTTTACTTAAAATGAAAGGATCAATATATGACTGGGAAGGAACAAAATGGCTGAGGATGAGCAAGATTTAAATAGATTGTCGATATCAATTTAAGATTCTAGGCTAAATTTTTCAACGGACACAATCATTAAGTGTTCATTTTCAAATCGACAGTTAAATTCAAATTTTTTGCGGTGGATAAGAAGGAAAACGTGCTTAAAATAGCAATTTTCCGCAAAGTCCTTGTGCTAAAAATGCGAGAAATGGAAAATATCTTTAAAAAAATCGACTTCAAGTTCCATTTTTACTCTCAACCAGATTGAAAAAACCTTACAAAGAAAAGGTTAAGTTTACCTTAAAAATCCCCGGTTTGACGACGATGACAACATTTTCCTTCAGTTTATGTAGCACGGTTATCATCATTCGTGACCTTTCCTCTCCACAATTTGATGCATAGCTTAACATGTAATTGTTTTTCATTTCTTGATTTGGTACAAGAGGTACACGTGCTGTCATATTGGCATTACAACACTAACCGATCACGGAGAGAATAAAACAATATATCATCTGTACTATTTGATAGTGATTACCGTTATTGTGTTTATCATTTGATCCGAGTTTTTCACATCAGTCAGATTCTTAAATGGATCTCATTTATATCACGGCCGGATAAACTAAAAAACGCAGTCGCAACTTCATCGCTACACAAAGACGAGACTAATCATTCACGCTTATTCACATTTATTGTTTTCTGAAAGCGAATTTTCCAAAACAGTCCATTAAACCGATTAGACTCTTAAAATATACTTTGAGTGCGAATTCGAACTTTTAGAAAGCGCGTTAGTCTTTATTCCTCAAGGAAGAATTATTTCGTCGTCACACTGAGCAGCATGCCTTTGAATGTATTCAAGCGTTCCTTTTGCCAATGATTGTTTCGTTCTTCAAAAAATCATTAAGCGACTGTCGACACACCCGCATGCGGCTCAAATGTAACTTTCTCGTTCTTGCTACGTTTTGACGTCATCTGAGAACCGCAACTGAACAAACACAAAGCGAATATGCTTGATCATGCATATACATGTCTTTTATATGTTTACAGTTTTCAACTTAGCTCCATTGAGCCATTTTCTTTCATGATTATTTGACTACAATAAACTGCTAGATGTTAACAAGGATTTCCAATTTGTTAGTAACAATAGAGAGAAGCCAGTTTGCTTGATCGCTTCTTCCACAAACCAAAACATGTTATGCACAAAATGAAAGAAAATA